AGAGCCACAATAGTCTTCGTCTTTCCAGAACCCGGGGGTCCTTGAATGAGTGTGAAAGCATCATTATCCAGAGCCGATTTGATTGCTTTGGCCTGGGCAGGATTGACATTGTAGTTTTCAGCGATAGGCTTGAGACTCGCATCTGAATAATTGAGGATAGGTGACGGCTTCGCTTTGATAATCTCTTCGCACAGGTCATAGTATTGAAGAGCCTTGAGAGCACCGTATTCGCGCTCGAGTGGAGTCATGGAAGTGATCTTTGCACCCCAGATGGAAGTACCAGGGCCCAGGGAGTTGATGAAAGGATTGCCTGGATTGACCCGGTATGAAATCTCGACGGTACCCTTCTTCCTCTTGATTCCAGAAACTCTAGCGAGACAATGAGGCGCAGACGAATCCGCTGTTGGCGACCTGGCCTTGGAGAGCAGGACAATGTCTGCTTCTCCTATGCCGAAGTCTTTGGCCTCGAGAGCTGACACGGCGGTGTTCACTTCCACAAAGGAGTCCACGGACAATCTAGTGGCCACCTTGATCTCAAACGGCTTGAATGAACCTTCTTCCTTTGACGATTGGAATCCCTGCCAGGCTTCCAGTATGAGAAGGGGTTCGAAGGTTCTCTGGTACTCGATGGGGTCTCTAAAAGCGTTGGACACCAGGCTGTAATCCGTCCGTCCGGAGTTTGGAGGAAGATCACCATTAGCGAAGAAATCCCAACCGAGGATTGTGCGATGCAGCGAGGATAGATCAGGCGCCAGTCGTGCTCTCATGTCTTTAGCCGACCGAACTTGCTTGATCTTCTTCACAGGTCCTTGTTGTTTCAAGGACATCCGCTTGCTCTCCTCATAAGCTTTGACGGCGTCGGGCTTCGAGCGTGACTTGGCGCCGAACAGTTCCTTGTCAAGCTCATCTTCGCTTTCAGACTCAGACTCAGATCCCGAAGAAACCATCATACTATCAGCGGGAACATTGTGATCTTTGCCTTTGACACCAAGTCCCAGCAAGCCGGAGCCCTGTTCAGCGGTCTGCTCGGCAACACCGATTGCTGGCTGACTCCTCTTGAGCCGTGCCAGCTCCGCCATGTCACGTCTCTTCTTTGCCTCCCGCTCTCTTTCACGCTTCTCGCGGAAAGCTTGAATGGACACGTTTGATTTAAGGGGAGCTGGGGCTAGCTTAGGAATAGCAGGCAGTGCCTTCGCCGCCCTTTCTGCCTTCTTCTTGGCTTCGTTGGCAAGCCTCTCTTTGTTTAATTCAACAGATCGCGACATCTGTAATAGGACATCGTCGGGAATGCTATCATCAAATTCATCAGCGGATTTCGGGGGGCTAGGAGTTGCCGTTGGATCAACTGGTTTGGCGAAGGAGGTGATCATGCTCTGCTTCTTGAGGCTGGCTGTTGATGCGGTGACAATGGGTTTCTTGTAATAAGCTTCTAGAGCCTGTACAAGCTCCGCTTTCTCCCGCAAGGTCAAGATTGTCTTAACGGTATAGTTCACCGCGACGCCCTCAATGAAACTCAATGCGTCCTGCTTAACAGTCGTGACGCTGAGCTCCCCTAAACGTCGCAAAATCTTCGACACGAGTCCCACTAAGGTTGTCGCCAAGTACTCATCCTTCAAGCGGAGCCATTTGACCATCGCGCTCATGGTTGTAGTTGCGGCCTTGAGGAAATTCTCTCGCGCGGAACTTTCTGAACTCGGGTCTGCATCGACTACAGCGCTGAGAAAGACACCATATTGTCCGAAAAGAAGATCGGCAAACTGAATGCTGTCGCGGCAGAATTCCAGCATGACGGCCTTGTCATTACCTCGGAGGTGCCATTGTTCCGTGCAGTCAAAGATCGTAGTCAAAGCTTGCCATAGATACTCCCAGAGCTTCTGGAGAGAAAGTATCTCCCGCCGATCGGCCAATTTGCGGGTTCTGAGCATACCAGTTTGACTATCACACAGGATGTCGATAATATCTGTACCCGTATGCAACATTCTTGGTGCGGAGGCAAACGTCTTCATATTCGAGATACGTCGAAAAGACCAGCTCAACCCATACATAGTTGTCGTAAAAAACGACTCCAGCAGGTGTGAAATTGCATCTCTTCGAGCGGACTGACCACTGACGTTCTTGATCAGATCCACGGCAGCCTGGTATGTGTCCAGATCAGCTGCAAATAAGGCGGAGATTAAGGCACTGCTAGTATCCTGGCTCTTAAATAGCTCATTCAGATGTTCAGGTTTGAAGTCTGCAAGGCGCTCAATGATTTGACAAGAGAGATTGGTTAAATGGCCGTATATCACATTGAAGTGAGTTTTCTCCGGGCTTGACTCTCCTTTCGTAGGAAACTTCTCAAGGCCAACCAGAGGTAATATACCAAGCAAAGCAGAGGTTGAGAGAGCTAAGTTATCTTCGTGGAGATGCCTAACAACCGCATCCCAGATCGCAGCAGAGTATGTACTAACTCCATGTTGGAGGGTGTTCTGGTGCAGAATCACTTCATAGTCACTCTTGAGGGACTGGCACTCCAGGGCAAGCGTATTACGGATAACGTCCATACACAAGGATGAGATTTCTCGCTGACGTCCCTGCTCGACCGCAAACTGAGGTGGTCGCAGTATCCTCTCGATATTTGCGCTTACAACACCTAGCGTTTCGGACAGTACGACGCGAGCCACGGAGCCTCTTGAGGACTCATGGTCGGTGAAACTGCGAAGGGTATGGAGTAGAATGACCAGACCCGTGTGGAAGCAGTGATACCTGGCCAGATTGGGGAACCGTGAGTCCTGCAGTCGGTCGAGAAGTTGGTAGACAAGGGATCTGCAAGCTGAGGGTTGATGCGCTCCTTTGAGAGACGACATGAATGGACTAATCCATGATAACATGTCTTTCATTGCAGACTTTTCGAACGGCTCACCCTCCGTAGCCTGCATCAGGAACGCATCCAGCTGAGGGTTGTAGAACACGAGTTCAATGAGAGCTTGAGGTGAAATTGTCTGCATAGCATCCCAGAAATCATTCGGTGCCTTTTCCAAGAAGATTTGTATCGTGTTGAGTAAGAAGCGTAAGCCTGGTGAAGGTATACCAAGGTGGTCCACAGAGAGACGGCAGGGATCGATTTCGAGTGCGCGGAGATGATGGGTAATCTGATCCTTATCCAGCCTTTTCACTACAAGCTGCATGCCACGCCACAGCCGCTGGATGACTGCTACTTGAGCTGGCTGTTGCGATGCGGTTTTAAGTGCATCAACAAGACCTTCCTTGATCGCCCAGTCAAATTCCTCGGCGGTCGGGGGGCGTGAGTATCGCATCCAAGAGTGAATGGCCCAGAAGCTGCGATTCTGGTTTGGCTCGAAAAGAAAACGGGTGACAGCAGGGATGTAATCGGACACCTTCAAACTGCGCTTTGTTTGGATCAGCCGGAATGGCTCATCGAAATACTCTTGCAAGAGACTATCACTGCGCAACATGGCATCACAGCTCAGAGTCTCGAAGATTGAAAGCAAGGATGCTCGGTCCAATACGTGAAGCCCGATCTCCTGGGGAGGAACCTCTTTGAGTTGCGCCGTAGCAGTAGCCAAGTTCTTCGTGATCCGCTTGATGTCCCACTCGTCAAGCATGCGGGCAAACTTCTCGATATCCTCATCGTCGTAGTTTTCTTTTAGCTGCTCCATCAGCCAGATCTTCCCTGTATAATATTGCTTGATGCAGAAGTCGCATTTCTCCAGTGAATCGTCTAGTTTCCGCCAGATCCAAGACTGTACTTCTTCCACACCTTCCTGGTTATAGGCCAGGATACGCATGCAGGACAGAAACTTCTCTTTGCGAATTTTGGCCTCTGTGACTATTTCTTGAACCGTTTTCCCCGACTCGTCTACTTGACTGGGATCGTCGTACCGTCCGTGGTCGTCATCGTGCTGTCTGGGACACAGGATATGGATGGCATCGGGAAGAGACTGTAGCTCTCTGTAGACAAACAACTGGATCAGTGAACCGCCAGTGAAAGGTAAATGTTGGTGTCATGATGTAAATACGAACCCGATAACATCCATGACCTCCATGGCGAGAGTGATTCAAAGAAGCACCAGGAGATGAATGCTTGGGAAGGCCCTCTCTAGAGCGTATGAGAAAACGAGAAATCAGACCACAATGACCTTGTGTATGAGCATGGCTACTGTGCGGCGAAGGCAGGATAGCTAGTGATTGCGAAGGCGGGCGTGGTGGGAGAGAATCAAGATTCGTAAGTCGAGGACATCTGGTGAGGTGATGAAGAAGTGAGAAATAGTCTGACTTTCCCAGTTCGATGCGAGGTATCACCTCCTGCTGGGTTTCAAGCAGCAGCGGATTTGCTCGGAAATTGATCGGTTTAACGTGACGGGATTGAAAGTGATGCCTTCGATACTAGGTAGGTACAAACGTAGTGAATCATTGGATCGGTGCAGTCCCTTCCGTGTGAATGATTGGCTCGAGGGAAAGGCGGTGACCCCTGCTCTGCCGATAATCCACTTAACGCGCGAAGACGCGCTTCCCCAACTTGGCGGCGGGCACTACGGCACGTAACCTTGTGGGAACTGCGGTGGAATATACGGAGTGTAGACCTCCACGGGATTGTGTTCGACTGTAGATTGAACATTAAATGTACTATTGTGAAAATTATGGAGGTCGTAGGGATTAAGTTCATCGAGCTTAATTTAGAAATCAACGGAACCAGTGGCCCATCTTCACATGATATTCATTTCCACGTGCCGACTCCAGGGTACGTATTACCATCCAATGGTCCAAGTGCATGAAAATGTTTCAAGTAAGATGGAGGAGAAAGGAAAGAGAGGGTTGTGATAGACTGAGCGCGTATGCAATGAGACGCTTTTGTACAGAGGAAGTAGGTAGATTGAGGTAAAGGACATTAAAGAGGAAAGCAGGCCAACGCGCCATGACTCCCAGGTCAGGTGCAAATGAAAAAATCTTGGAGGAGAATAGAATCACTGCTGGAATGAGGTCAACAGGATATAAGCGAACCAATTGCGCCGGATCGTTTAACCGTGGTACCAAACGCCTTCTATCGTGGAATATGGGGTAATCTACTCGTCAGACAACAAAAAAGGAGAACAGGTTGAATATATGGACAGGAAGGTCGACAAAGGCCCGTTGCAGGAGAGCGACTCCTAAAGTCGGGCCCTTTGTATAAATAAGAAGCGAGGGTGAAGAAAAGTCGATATATGTACGGTGTAAAGCGTGTGGTATCAAATCGCATGCAATGGAGGATCATGAGGGCCTTTGAGAGGGCTATCGGGTTCTTGTACTCTGGGATATGAGGATTCCCGCGTCAACAATTCGGGTTGTTGGAAGTCTTGGTCCACCTCAAATGTAGGTGGAACTCTGTCAAATGAATGTCGTGTTCGCTCTGATGAATAATGAACATAGTCCACAGGCTGTGGATGAGGTAGTCGGGTAGTGTCAAGGCTGGAGGCATAGGTCGTTCCACTACTGCCATTCTTGCTGTGTGACTTGTGGGTGCGAATAGTTGGAGGATAAGACGGGGAAAATATCTGCTGTTCATCTGAAAATGGATCGTGCTTCACAGTCGGCTGTATCGGTTTCACAAAATCCGAAGACGTCGAGGACTCGTCGCCAAGAGCTCGAGCTGCTGCCGCTTTTTCAGCTGCTCGGGGTGGGACATAAGCCTCATACTGGTCAAGGAATTTGAACTTTCCTTGAGACACCTGCTCGCGTATGATATCCACATCAAGTGGGAAGAAAACCTTCTGGAAAGACTTTACAGCGAAGCGAGGCAGGAGGCAAATCATGACAGTGAGTAATAGGACAACCCAAAATGACAGCGCGCTGTAAACTTCCAGACCGGCGTGGAAGAAAGTGGTTGAAGCCTCAAGTGAAGAGTAAATCCCAGTCCAGAGAAAGATAAGGAGGGAGCTTATGCCGTTGATCATGACCGTAAGCCAATCCCACCTGTAGGAGTTCATTAGGATGTAGCCGTTGCTCGCGAAAACAGCGCTGGTGCCAACCAGGACACCCATGCGCGTTCGATCGTTGATATTCAAGCCATTATGGTGCACGAATGTTGCGGGACTATATAGGAGGTATGGCATGAAAAAGCAAATGATAGACTGATACAAGCCATCGGCCATATATAGCCTGGGTTTTGTCAGTGCCAGCAGCAGAGGGGAGAGCTATAGGGCCGCATACCAGAACTTGAGCTGCGACCACTCTTTTCGCTCAATACCTCTCATATATAGTTGAGGCACGGCTAATGACACCTTGTCATCGACATCCTGATCGAAAATGCCCATCAGAATCACGGGAAGTGAAGTGAAGGCGACGTTGACCAGAACAATGTAAGTGTAGTCGAAAAGGTACGAGCCGTCATAATCATTGTAAATCGAGTACCAAAAGAGCGCTAGTGTCCAGACCAAATTCTAAAAGGTAAAATTGTCAGTGTATATAGACGATGAAGCTGGTCATGCGTCGCACCTTATAGAAGAAATTTGCGATTGTCTCCGCCATACGGCGATATGAGTATCTGCCATGAACGAGGACAAGACGTTGCAAAAATCGAAATTGCCCGATGGCATAGTCAGACGACATAGCAGCTTGCCGACCTTCTTCACCAATAATTCCGACGCCGACGTCTGCCTCCTGGATCATGGCTACATCGTTGGCACCGTCTCCAATTGAAAGGGCCATGATATCCAGGCCATTTTTGACCATGCGTACAACTGCTGCCTTCTGAGCAGGACTCACCCGACAGCAAAGAACGGACTTGCACTGTTTGCACAGCAAAAGGAAACGTTGCTTCAGTTCTTCATCGAGCATTAATTTGAGAGTTTCGCCGTCAATGACAACGGCATGCGTGGGGGCGGGCGGCCTGTGATCGCCTCGCGCAGCAATCAATTCTTCGTCCGACCCAGTCATCCCGAAGCGTTCCAGTTGTTTGTCAAGCTCTTGCGAAGCCCGCTGCGGTTGGTCACTGGGAATGTTAAAGACGATAAGCTCCATATCATTGTCCAAGAGGTTGCATGAGAAGCCAATGTTGATGGCTGTCTCAACTTTATCACCAGTCAAGACCCACAGCTTGATTCCGGCTTCAGCAAGCAGAGAAATCGTGTCTGGGACACCATCCTGAAGTCTGTCCTCAATTGCTGTACCGCCAATAAGCATGAGGTCTTGCTCGATATTGCTTGCAACTTCTTCGAGCTTTTCCTCGCGATCAGTAAGCGCGGCAGCGGCAAGATCATGTTCTTTGCTCCAAGCCAAATATTCCTCTTCGCTGAGCTCACGATCCGCCACACATAAAGTACGCAGACCTTCGCTAGCAAACATCTCAAGGTGCTTTGCAGTTTGTTTCCGCAGCTCCTGTTGCTTGCCTGGCGCTAAGCGCGAATAGATAATGCTATCCGCACCTTTGCAGAAGAGCCGTATACTACCATCGGGCATTCGAATGATCGCACTCATACGCTTCCTCGTGGAATTGAATTCCAGGGTATTTAGAACAGTATATGTCCTTTCCTCGCCCAAAACGTTCACGATTAGGTCATCATTTGACCTTCCAAGCACAGTAAAGCCACAGTCTCTCGCTGTACCTACCAAGGCAGCCTCATCAGGGGACTGTGCTTGGAACTCGATTTGAGGAGGATCTCCTGGAGTTTGCTCGGTGATAACCGTGTGGCATACTGCAAGAGTGAGCATAAAATGTTCTGTTGCTTTCCTCTGGGCTTCGCCAGAGTGACCATCCAGATCTGCAACAAAGTCTGGCGAGATGAATGTCAAGCTTTCGTCGCGCAAATATGGATTGTCGTACATTTTCCGAAGCATGCCCACCATCCGAACAGTGTCTGCGGCCAGCTTCTTTCGCGCATTGGCGGCCATTGCATCGGCATCGCCCCCTTCTCGCCGGACAATACCCACTTGAGCTTCTGTGAAAGCTTCGCCGTAAGAAACACCATTGATAGTGCATTTCTTGAAATCCATAACATTCTGGGTCAATGTGCCCGTCTTGTCGGAGAAAATGTACTCAATCTGCCCAACATCATCTGAGATGTTCCAGGATTTCGGGATGCACGAAATCCCCAGTTTATCATAGTACATGAAGACGTCGCTATGAATGAAAACTGCTTGAATGGTGCGGACGATTTCCAGTGAGATGTAGAGCGAGATCGGAACGAGGTTCTGGAATAGAATCAAGGCGACCCAGAAAGTAATAAAGCCAGTAACGGCAGGGGTGCTTCCGTACGATCCAAAATCGAAATAATCTAGAGACCTGTGAGATGAGCCCCAAGCAGCTCCGTTGGCGATTCCACAAATAAGGCACATGACGAACAAGATAACAAAGTTATAGATAACATTCCAATTGAGATCTTTGGCGAGTCTGGGTCGTTTAGAAGGGGTGACACCCGAGTTCAGCATAACCTTTGTCTCCTCGCCAGTGAAGAGAACAACACCAAGAGCCCACTCAGTGTTACGGAGAGAGCAACCACGCAAAAGCAGATTGTTAATCGTCACAGGCTCCACCATCTCCCGTCGAGGCGCATCGGGATAGTCGGGGTCACGTTGATCCCAACGCAAAGCTCCGTTGTAGGCATAGAGATTGGGGTGTGGAGCCTCGCTATCGATCACGAATTCTGCCTTCTCGCAATCTCGAGCATGTCTGACTTGGCGGCCACAGTGCAGGGCCTGTCGGACTTTGAGGTTGGTCTCTCCGTCTAAACTTTTGGTTTCCACGTAGCAAGCGCCATCCGGGTCGGATGTCGATAGTAAGATGATATCAGCGGGAACCTGATCTCCGTTATATAATCGAACATAGTCTCCGACTTGAATGTTCTTCCAAAAATCGCGCTTGAATCTTGCTTTCCCTAAGGTTTGCTTCGACATATCGACTATGCTTCCAACTTTCCTTGGAGGAGTCGCAGAAGCGTCCCGTTCCACGGCCTGGAATCCGGCAGCTTTGTCCGGCATCGATCGATAGTCGACATCTGCAGCCGGAAGAGGCCAGTCTGGTCGGGCATCGGGGGTAAAGTTCTGAACGGAGGTCATTTGGATAGCATCTTCTTCGCGTTGGGAAGCGAATGAAGCACGCGGAGATATCGTGGACATAAAAGTTGCGCGGCGGTTATCCTTTGCCGGTTGAGGGGTACTCTTCTGCTGAAATAGTGCCTTCGTGGCCCTGTACGTGGTGACGGTAGCTCTGGTGCAAGCCTTCTTGAATCGGCGCCACATAGAGATTTGATCTTCAGTCGAGTTCACGTTGGTCCAGTCTATCAGACGGTATACAGGTGAGTTGTTCAGCTCATTGTCGAGGATGGTACGGCGAAAATCTTCAATAGCATCTTTGAGCGACGTGAGCACGACAATAACGATCAAGGGAACAGTGTTCACCGCTGGAGAAGCGACACCAAAAATGGAGAAGAACTAATTAGGTGTAAGTGGTGATTGCTTTTATCTCTGGGGTAGGAGAGGTATAGGGACATACACCAAGAATAATGATGAAGAGAAAGTAAATATTGGCAATGTTTTGGAACTGGAACCAAAGATTTTTGGGTACAAACGATAAAGGCGTATACTTGGCTGTGCGAATCTTGTTCCTCGGGTATTCCATCTTTGGGCGTCCATCTTCATCTCTCTCGTTCTCGGGGATGGGTATGTTGAAGTAGATCGTTCTATTACTGGGAGCGGTCGAATTCACCGGGCTCTGAGGTAGTGGAGGAGGCGGATCAACTGCAGCCGGTTGCTGCTTCTCTTCTTCGACATTTGGGCGCTTGTGCAGCCGATCTATTATCGAGACCCGTTTCCGCGCTCCTCCTGAGCCGGCAACTCGTTGTGTTGCCCATCGTTGGCGCTTTGTTGGTTTGGAGACATTACTGTTGGTCTCTCGAGCCTCGTTGTCAGGCTCAACGCTATCTGTGCCTAAATCGACAGAAGCCATTTAGGCTACTTGCAACCCTGTCGTGGGCATAAAAGAGGCACCGTGTTGTTCGGAACGACGAAGGGAGGGCATCCGCATCAACGAGCTGGACCCTGGCAGCGCAGCCCGCTCGCGAGTTGATTTGTTTATACCGAAGTCGGAGTCAGATCGAAAGGGTAAGGAGTCAGGACGGGATCGACTCGAGACAATATATTGCGGTTGGTAGCGACAGGGAACGAATAGGATGGGCGCTTGAGTGCGACACGGCGATGCGAGAAGGTAAGGAGTGTCAATAACACCAAAGTGAGACTCACAAAACACAGGGCAATGGCAGACAGGAAGGCGAAACGAGCGGAGAGGGGGAAGGAAGACGAAGATCACCCACGATGGGCCATGTATGTGCCATGAACGAATGAATAAAACGATACAGGAAAAGGAATAGAGAAACAATAAAAACCACAAGCAGACTAAGAGAATCAGCCTTTGCGGAAGAAAGAATCAAGAGGAGGAGGCTTGAGGACAGCGTTCCGGACAGCGTTCCGGACAGCGTTCGGTCTCGCTCTCTTCCTCTCTCTCTCTCATGGAACACCCAGCAGCCGACGGGACCTTTTTTGGGGGGGTGGGAGGAATTGGGGGGGGGGGGGCGGCGGCGAGTCGGAACTCGAAAGGTACGGTATCAAAATACTAGGGCGGAACGCGGATGCGGTACCAAGCTGTCAAAATTTGGTCATCTCAATACACTGCACCGTATTTATTGATTTCAGGGAATGCCAGAGGTTTCGCAAACACTTATTCTGAACTGCATACACTAAAAAGCAGGTGACTAGGTACATACAGTGCTTGCAACTGGAAAGTGCTTGTTAGGCCTAGTACAAGGAGTAGTTAGATCTGGCAGTGATGATACGCTTCTGCGCTCCTGCCCCCTACAGAGACGGACAGATCCAGGAATTGATACGAGTACAGCACACCGATCGACTTCTCAAAACATACACTAGCGACAACTTGATCGGTTGTCATCACCAAACTCAGCAGAGACGGTCTTCGAGAATTTCAGTGAGTATTAGGAGCTTGGGAGTTTGCTGCTTGCTGATCCCCAGATTCCATCGGCTGATAATAGTGCACATCCTGCCTAACCTGGCTCAACCTACTATCTGCTATAGGGAAGGAGGTTCCAACCGCCCGGCAACAAATACGACCCAGCCTCGCTTTAGACCGTGGGCGCTTCACGCTATTATACGCGGACCTGCGACGGTCTGTCTGCTGGCAAATGCTCAATATGTCAATCACTATTGCTTCGTGCCTTTAATTCCGACCTACGTCGTCGTTGCGATTCCAGAAATCTTACGGTCTTCCAATGCACCACCGACTAAGTTATCGGGCCAATGGCGCTGAAATGGCTTTTATCGGGACCACCCTCCCCGGGGTCCATGCACTGCGGCAGCCATGCTACCATGCATACCATCAGGACAGGCGAATTGCGCATCATACCGGTAGATGGATCGCTGGGGAATGTGAAGGTCGACGAGTCTCCCGGACAATCATGCTTAAGCATTTCTGGAAGATATGCTTGCTTGCTTATTCGCACCCATTCTAGCAGGGCGAATGGATGTATCTGTTACCTTATCAATACTCCCGGATTACCGAGCTTTCTGGAAGGCCCAGGGACGACTGGCCGCCTGGGCTTAGTCGAAGCGAGCCTGAAACAGCCTAAGGTCGTCCGGGACGGCACATGCTGATGCCAGCCCATGGATATGCTCCACCTCAACGGAGCGCGGAGAGGTACCACATCTTAATTCCGTAGACTGACTGACCAGCTAGATAGCCCGACGGACAACAATCAGCTCACTGGTGGATTATGCGGTTGTCAATCGCTACATTCAATTTTCATTAACTCCGTATGCGCACAGCCTAAGTCGTCAACCCTTCTGATTATGTAAATTCGGCTACCGGATACCATTGCTATCCGCTTGTACTTTCGGCTCTCCTAGCAATCATTATCCTCTACTCCCCCCCTTTTTTGCCTTCCTCTCTATATTTTGTTGGTCTGTCTTGGCTTCTGGGCAAGGCCAATGAGGGACAAACCTCCCACCCGATACAGTTTGGTTACTTTGGTATGGTTCCATGACTATTGCGCATGGATTATCTGGTCTCTTGTGAACCTGCATTGGAAGTGTGTTCCTTCATTGGGGGGCTAGTTCGGAGTCGATCATCCAGCATTGGACCCGGTCGAAAGTGTTTCAGTCAGACATCAGTTTCATGCCAGAGTGTTGACGCGCAAGTGAACCGACTTGAGCTTCTGCACTGCATTGGTTCCCTCTAAACAACTTAAAATAGCTTCACATTTCACACACATACACAAACAAGTCTTGTTAATCTCGCCTGTGCTCTTGCCGTCATTGCTATTCGTTCCGGCCCGAGGGGGCTGGGTAAGAATTGGCCACCATAGCCTCGTCTGACTCAAGTACTGTTAACACTCTCACCCACTCTATGGAGGATAGGCATATCCTTTCTCGAAATAATCGTGCATTTTCAGTGTTTATCCTATTCGCACATGTTCACTTTGAGAATCAAGTATTGATTCCATAAAACGGTGGCGCCAGGTCTGCCTCTTCCCGTCAGACAACCCCGAGAGGGTGCATTGCGTCTGAAGCGGAAGACGGACACTGAAATAGCCGTACTATGAGTACTTTGGAGTCTTGTACCTTGCGGGAAGGATGGAATATGACACCGACTGGATAGATCGGCCACGAACCCGTGTGGAGACCAAAGTTGTAGGCTACCAAGCACAGTGTGGTCGGCATGGCGTACTAACCCTGAGATCTGCACCGCTCCCAGCCCCTGGGCCACATCCGAGAGCGATCAGACAGGAAGGATTCTGAGCTAGGAATATGAAGTGTAAGGTTGAATTGCTCGTTTTCCCACCTGGGTTGAAGAGCAGACAGCGACTTTGGGCGAATCGACACCCATTGCTTCCTATTCTTTGGCCCCTTTCAAGCTGCATTCTGGCTGACCTGTTTTGGGGTCGAAAAGAACAGACGGACAAAGAAATCTGAGGCGACAGGGGATTTCCTGGTAAGCAATGGATGGTGATTAGTGAACGACAATTTGAAAGAAACCGTATTTTTGGAAGTCTGTATGATCATTCGGAGAGATTCTGGAAAAAATTGGCCGTAATAATATTTTGCCCCTGGGAAATTATGAATATCGGAAGGAATCCCTCCCCCACATCATTTATCTGGATATTGTGCCACTGGACGGAGTAGCCCCTACATAACGGTCACGGTGCATGGGGAAAAGCTGACGAATCTGAACGGAGACGGTCATAATATGAGATAGCAATTTGAGACGGGAACCAGCAAACGATGGGGCGGTGCCTGGAAGCAAATCCGGTTTTGGCGCTGATGCCTGTGTCCCATAACTAAAAATACAGCTTGAGAGGGATTTATTCTCTTTCTTGCGAATTGGGCCAATTGTGCTGTTTGGAGCACTGTACGAATTAACTACCATCTCCATCATATAACCATGCTTTCATAGTATTGTATCATGTGACTTCGCGAATGGGGAGACGCGCCCGACGTGTTCCGTAGAATGCGGAGATCTAAACTGAACAAAGCATGCAGGTCATTCTTCCATGACAGCGTCTCGGTGCCCCTCATCTGCCCAGTATGCGACGCATAAGCAGTTATTTCAAGCGTCCAGTGTTCGCTGCAACTAACGAAAGCAACCAAGACATTCGCCAGGAGCGTCCAGCCCAGGAGCCTTCAGCCAAGCATCCTAGTCCGGCCCCTCCGCAATCTTCTCCTCTCACTGAAGTATCGTCATCTTTCTTCTCAAAAGATGGATCTTCGACCCCAGAAAGGCCAGCGCATGAACCACTTGCTTCGCTGACACCATCTATCCATGACACATTCAAGAATGAGACAGAAAGTGATAGCTCCCCGTCACCTGCAAGTCTGGTACCAGGATCGAGCTTTAACTTCTCGCAGCGTGTTGTCAAGCACGGCAAAGAGGTCGTGATGGGCTCTGATGGAGAGGACACTGACTCCATAGGCTCACTAGAGTCTCCCGCAGACCTTTTTATGAGATTCGCTAAACCGACCCATTCTACATCTTCAGAGCCTTCACGTCCTGGCCGTACAGTTTCGGCAAAGACCGACTCACTCGCCCGGCTAGAAAAGCCTGCTCCATCGTACAAGAATAATCTTGACTCCCTCGTCACTGCCGCGGTTGATGATCAGGAGACTGAGGCTGGTATCGCTAAGCTAAGGGCGTCTTTCGACAGGGCGGCTAATGAATCCACCCGTCGGAGGGGACAGCTACATGAAGGGATTCTAACGTCAGCTCTGGGCGACAACGATGACGAGATGGACATGCAACGTCTGCTTCACGCTCTACGCAGAACAGATGCTTTTGATCCGACTAAGGCTTGGCACTTCTTTGATTTCAAGGACGAGTTGCCTCCTGTACTTGAATTTCCGGTAGAATGTATTAGTCCGAGATCGTATCTGACCTCGTTAACAGGTAAGTATTCCTTTAATTGATGGCAACTAGCTCAAAGCTCATTCGTTTCAGCAAATCATTCGAGGGAGAGAGCTTTTCATTCTGGTATCGTTGATTTTGCTCTCTCCAGGTCATTCTTGCCGGACGAGGTGATCTCATGGATCTTCCACTCCAGTGAGTCCTTTCATGCTTCTTAGCTCCTCGCACTGCTAATATCGGCCATCAGTACCGATAGAGCCACAGGACAGTATCAGACATGCGTACTGCAGGGCTATAAAGGTGACATGTGCTCTCGTAGCCTATATTTTTATGCTTTACTGACTAACTGTTTGATCCCAGAACACAAATGCTAAACATGTTAAGGCCCTCATACGGCCAGATGACTTTCGCATACTCTTCAAACGATTAGGAGCAATTCCGAATGCAATAGATATTCACGAACAGATCGTTCCAGATGCGGATCCCAAAGGTATGAAGCAAGCCTAGGAGTGCGACTTCCGGGATATTAAGCCATTGCAGATTACCTCCAATCTATCTCCCGGCATCAAGGCTTAGTGTTGTCTGTCCTGGATCTGATCTGCGGGGCAGCTGATTTGTAAGTCTCTCAAATCGTATGCCTTTCGACGAGTGCTAATCGATTCAAAGATTCGCAGACGACACCCGAGAATACCTGTTGAGCGTTTTATTCCGAATGACGCTCGATGTGGCTCTTACAAGCGTCGCCACCATCAGCTCGGAAATTGAGAGGGCGATAGTTACCGTCTTGGAGAGCTCTTCGGAGGAAACAGCGGAGGACTTGGTGAGTCTGAATTTCTAAACGATAAAATGTGAATCCACTTACAGTGTTAGATACATCGCGTTTGCACCACGACACTCAACACATTCAAAGACGCAACATTCCAAAGCCGCCTTCTCAAGCATATACTGCCGGAAGCTGACTGGATCGCTCTAATCCGATGTCGTCTAGCCGTGTGCTTCTTACTCGACAATCCAGCGCCTCTGTGCGAGCCACTAAACGAGCTGCTCAGCTTGACGCGAATCACCGACATCCTCAAGCGGGATATCTTTGACATCAGGAAGTACAAAGGCAAAGACAAACCCGAGTACGACTATGGAGAGCTTCTCGCCATCACCTCCCTTCTCAACATTGCTGTTGATTCAGGCCGGTATCAGGCAGAATTTGCGGACAGAGAAGCTGAAAAAGCATTCAACACGCAGGTGGATATGGTGGCCGACCGTCTCAAGAAGGTCTTCAGCTTGATCGAGGATTCCGGTGCCTCCCATCTAAAGCGCACACTGGCCAAAGAAGCCCTTGAGACCCTGCACTACCGTATCGTCTATAGCGTCAGGACAAGGCCGCGTCCGAAGAAGTCGATCTACGGGACCATTGAAGCCCGGGAGTATGACCGGGAAGCCTTCAAAGGGTTCTTGCCGAAGATCAAAGCTAGTGCAATCAAAGCTGGCGCTGGGACAGAGATACCAATCCGACAACATGAGGCCCCTCCCCGGTGAAGCGTACGGTACCCCTTCTATTTTCATGCATCTTCCGTGGCCATCGCAGTCATAGTTAGTGGAGTGGCGAATCTCCCCAGTGCATATAATCGCTGCAGTCCTCATGCAGCTCTCGACGGCATACTACCAGGTTATAAGGAGCCGTCCCAATGCGACCGGTGGTGAATTACAGGGCTCGGGCTCCATCGCGACCTGCTGACCTACTTGCACCTTGCAACCATCCTCCACGGCACGAAAGCGCGCTGCAGCAACGTGCAATGCAGCAGCCACGGGCCAACATCCTTACAGCATGCTCACAGACCTCGGGCCATTGCTTTTGAATCGGTACTGTGCAAACCCCGGGCTGACTGTGAACATTATGGTTCTCTTTCAGGCTCAACCGGCCTCCTGCCCGATTTCGTACTTTCTGCTCCAGTTGCGCACAAGTCAGCATTCGTGGTCGCATTTGAACCTCCTGCACAGGGTGGACTGCTCGGTCCCCTTGATCGCGTCTGTCGAGCACCAACATCGAAGTATCCTAGCCCAGAGTCTGCCTCACATTGAGCGATAGCAGTAGTGGAGGAAACAGGAGGGCCCTCGTAGGTCTATCAATATCCAAGCCCATGGAACGTTGCAATCTCCATAAATCCTTCAAGTGATGATCTACTGGTGGTAGTTCTGGTACTCGTAGTTCAGGCGGCCTCTGTATATATAGAATAAACTTTTGCTATCCACAAACAAACAAACCTCCCTTGGAATCCAATTCCAATTTCCGCTCTTTCCACGTACACACGATATATCCCACACTCTACGCTTACAATTCGTAGGCACTCGGCACCGGCACCGAATCAGCACAAAACGGGGGGGCGGGGAAAGCTTAAAATCATCATTCGGCTCGAATTGGAACTCCAGACAGACACGGAGAATAGAAACACGGTAAAGGCCTGTATACAGAGCTAGAACGATCTTCAGTGGGGGGGAGAAGAAGAAACGACAGGTACAATAGATACATGGGGTTGGGTGGGGGAGGGGAGGCAGTACAGCAAGGTCAGATAATGTCTCTAAAGGGGGCAAATTCAACCAAACGGTCCCAGCCACCTCTAGTCATAGAACCTCCGGTTGGTGTTCTTGCCGAAGAGCGTCTCTCTAACGGCGGGGAGAGCATCAATCTCCAGCAGACGCAGTCGCTCCTCGAACGTGTTGCTGATTTCGATCTTGCCCTGACCGCCCACGATCACGACACCACCTGCACTGTTGGGTAATAACAACAATCATAAGACGTTAGTTTTTGAGGAGGACAATCACCAAGACAGGAAGAAACCAGAAAGAACAAAAAAAAAGGTTGACTCACGATCCCTCCGGCAAAGTCTCCTCCTCGTCCAGCTCCACGGTGACCTCCTTGCCGACCGTCTCGTGGAACTCCTTCTCGGCCTCCTCGATCGCCTTCTTGACAGTGTCAAAGTCCTGCTTGCGCGCCCGCACGCCGATCTTATCCTCGTTCAACGCATATAGCCCCTCAAGGATCAGCCCCTTCAGCACGGTCTGGTACTTGTCGGCATCCTTGGCCGCGATCCCGGAGATCTGCTCGCGGGCCTGCTGGAACAGCTCGTCGAGGAGCTCCTGGCGGGCGGAGAGGACACGCAGGCGAGTGCGGTTGGCGAGGGTGGAGCGGGTGATCTGTTGGGACATGGCGGCTTGCTTGAACTTCTTCTCATACTGGGTGTCGATGGCGGCGGTCTCCTGGCGGACCAGCTTGGACTTCTCGATGGCGAACTCCTCGTCGGCCTTCAGTTGGATCTCGCGGGCCTTCTCCACCGCTTCCTGGCGGATGAAGGCCGTCATCTTGCGGAGCTCGCCCGCAACCTATTTGTAGAGGGTTGTGAGTTCGGGGCCTGACAGTCGCCTCCGTAGCGGGGAGGGGGGCAGTTGGGACTGAGCAATGGTTGCGTACCTGGTCATCGGAAAGAGCATGACTTTGCGACATGGTGACGGTGTGTTGATGAAAAAAAGTCTCACAAGACAAAGGGAAAAGAAGGAAAAGCGAAAGACTGGTTATCGGTAGGTAGGTAGGTAGGTCGGTTGGTAGGTATGTTGAGGGCCGTTCGAGCTTCCCGATGCGGAGGAGTGTTTCTGGGTGGAGCACTAAGAAGAGACCAACGTCAGCCTGATTGTCACTCTGATACTCCCGGTCGGCACTGATAGTGATTGTACTGTACAACAACAACAATAACAACAACAATAGACCACTTGCATGAAGGGGGTCAGGAGGAGCCACCACGCAAAAGGAGGAAACTCACCTGAACGTAGAGGTACGGAATGTAAAATGTAGTTAAGCGACCTGAAGAAGGAGGGGCAGGGAAGGGAGAAAAGACAAGAGGGAGAGAGCAAGCAGCAAGCGTCGCACTTGGCGGGATCTGCTGATCGGATCGCAGCTTGGCGGCTACTCTTCAATGTCTCTCTCCCTCCGCCCCAAATTGCCCCCCTCGACTAAACTTAACTTACCCTTCCCCTTCTTCCTCTTCCATACTTGACACGATAACACTTCGCTCCTTGCTCTTCGCCTTTAGTATACCACCTAAGGTCCTCCTCTGTCCTTATTAATCGCCTCCGTCAGACAATGGAGTCTGGACTGCTAGCCTGTCCTTCCCCAGTCTGATGTGTGCCTGGTCTCTCGTTCCCCGCTCAGCAGCCAATGCATGAGGACAACCTTCGCAATGGGCAATCTCGGTGACCTGTCACCTCAGGGGAGCGTCGCGGTCAGTTATTGGTTCGATTTCCGCGGTTGACTATCGAAGAGCTAACTTCCTTTCCTCCTGCTAGGTTGGAGTCGTCGTCGGGTTGATCTCGACCAGTCTTCAAGCTATCGGCCTGACCCTCCAACGCAAGTCGCATATCCTCGAGGACGAGAAACACCCTTACGATTTACGTCGACCGCCTTACAAACGTCGAAGATGGCAGGTGCGCAGCGCATGTTTCTCCTCCAGTGCCTCGCAATGGTCTAACCGCGCGATTCTCTTTCTAGCTGGGTATGCTCATGTTCGTCGTTGCGAACATTGTTGGCAGTACTATACAAATCACAACCCTTCCGCTCCCGGTACTTTCAACACTCCAAGCAGTCAGTCTCTAGCCCTGCGACGACAATTACAGAGCTTCACTAACTCCCGCGCTTTAGTCCGGTCTCGTCTTCAACACCGTCTTTGCCACTCTGATCCTCGGTGAAGCGTTTACAAGATACTCTCTGGTGGGCACACTTTTGGTCTGCATTGGTGCATTGCTCATCGCAATATTCGGTGCCCTGGGAGAGCCGGCGCATAGTCTTGATCAACTCCTGGAGCTTTTGCAGCGTCGAAACTTCGTACTCTGGATGGGAGGCACAGCTCTGATGGTGCTGGCTATCTACGCAGGGTCCAGACTGCTCGATTTCCTTACGTCACCGCCGCGGTCCAAGCATACGGGATCGCGCGGTTCTTACAGGGCACTGCAAATGTCCCCGGGGCGTGTTCGCCTCATACGCGGGCTTTCTTTTGGCATGATCAGCGGAATACTATCCGCGCACACTCTTTTGCTTGCGAAATCGGCTGTCGAGCTGTTGGTTCGGACTGTCGTGGATCGCGTCAATCAATTCAACCGCTGGCAATCATGGGTCATTCTGCTTGCAATGATAGCGCTGGCTCTGTCCCAGCTCTTCTACCTCCATCGAGGGTTGAAACTGTGCAGTACCAGCATTCTGTATCCGTTTGTCTTCTGCATCTATAACATTATTGCTATCATAGATGGTTTGGTCTATTTCCAACAAATGTCCCAGCTAGGAGGCTTCCACGCGGGACTTATCGCGCTGGGGACGATTGTTCTCCTGAGCGGAGTGCTCTGTCTGTCCTGGCGCTTAGAGGATATCGACAGTCACGCCGCTGTGGCCGTGTCCGGGCCCACGCAAACCGGTTTGGGTCCAGGGTTGGCCGTCCTTGAGGAACTTCCGACATCACCGATTGGCCTGGGACTCGACGGCGAGGAGGGATCGGAGCGGGAGCCACTGTTGCAAACAGCTCACCTTCCTCGCCGCACCCCGCACCAACGGGCACCCAGTCTACCTCTGTTACACGCGCCGCTGAGCCATCGGGACTCGACGACGTCGACAGCGGACGTGGATCCTGCTTCCATCTGGGCCGAACTTGATGATTCGGACAACGAATACGCGGCGTTCGCCTTGCGGTCGGGTCAGCGCAAACGCGCCTCGGCTGGGCCCTTCCCAGCACGACCGCGCAGCCGAAGTGGCGCAACGACCCTGCGAGATAGTCTTCTCCGAGGCCCACGCCGCTCCACCACCAACCCTGTGGGTCAATCACCTGCCTGGAATCAGCGCCGCAACCCGTACTCTCTCTTCGACCGTAAACAACGGCGAACATCGGCTCCCGCCTCGGAAAACCGCCAGCTCCTTCTTCACCGGCAGGGGACCGCCAATGGCCCGGGTGCCCGGGTCACAGGTTACGGCACGCAAGACGAACGAAGCGACAGCCTCGTTGCCTCCCACCACCGTCGCCAGGGATCCTTGCACCTCTCACCCGGTGCAGATAGGGGTGAGGGGGGCGCGCTCCTCGCTGGTCCGAGGAGAGCTCTCCGCCAGGCGTGGGGAAGCGTACGGACCCTCACTCGCTGGATGTCGTCAAATCGAGGGCGCCAACCGTCCGACCATGATCCAGACCTCGAGGCTCATCAGGATGGCCCCTTCGAGCAGCAATAGTCATTCTTTCTCTTCTGATTCTGCTTCGACCTCTTCCTTCCTTCTTCCTACCTTCCTTTCCCATAGACCTTTCTACTGGACAGCCAGCAGCACCATATATGTCTCAAACAGTAGACCCCACCCGAGCCTCTCTATCACTTAATGTACAACAGTAAATCCATACATTCCATATAACCTATTATACCAAAGTATAAGCAATACAATTCTAAACACAGTCAAAGCCAAAGCAAAACGAACGCTATACCTTCTCCTCCCCTAAATCTAACCCGGCATGATAGACAACCCCGAAAAGACCGGGCCAGACAGAGGACATGCCCGTAGGCAGAATCCCTATCAATCGACCAAAGATCCAGTCTCACATCTAATTTTCCTAAACAAGCCTCCAGTGACTCAAGCACTTTTACCAATGCTCGCAGTCATACCCACATGAAAACTCATACCATCAAACGAGTACCCAGCGACTCCCCCAAAGCAAGACCGTAGTGCAGCATCCCACCCAAGCGCCATTCGACCATACGACCATGTTGTAATCCTTTCTCCCCGTACTTTTACTGTTGTTGACTAGTTGCCACGCCTAGGAGTGGAGAAGGAAAGATCCGGCCCTGATATCATCAGGATCTGACATCATTGGAAGGAAGATCTGCCCGGTGCGGGAACTGGTACGAGTACAATGCTGACTGCTGTCTGCATCGCTCTGCCAGCAACCAACTCATCGGCTGATCTCCTATATAGATTCTCCCATATGGATACAGCCAGCACAAGAGTAGAGTCCTATGAGAACAGCAAGGTAGGTAAGTTACCCGCCGCTACAATACGCTAATCATGGCAAGAGAATCTCGAGGAGTGATCATACATGGCATTTGTCCGCCCACTCCTTCCTGAAAGAGAGGGAACTGCATAAAAGGAAGTCACAAGGGATTATGTCACTGCATGGGTGGAAGATGGGGTTTGGAAAGAAAAGAATCGACAATTTATGATAAGAACACATATACTTCGCGCATACACACACACGCATTTCGATAATCAGAGCTAACAGAGAACCACTTCGCCCGCAAAAAGAGGAAAAGGTCAGCAGACAGAGAGAAGAGAGAAAGAAAGCACCAGAAACACCGCCACTTCCCAGCAGTCGTCTAGGAAAGACATTAGTAGAATGAATGGGAAAACAGGAAAGAAAATCAATTTATTGCCTGGGAGCCTTTCCCAGATTTCGGAATACATCCTTCATGATTCGATCATCCATTCTGGCCTTTGGGTTTGTTTTTTTTTTTGTTTTTCTGTTTCTCAATTGAGCTTTTTTTCTGTTAAATAGGCTGTTTGGCATTTATGGTGAAACGGGGGGGGGGGGCGGATATAGCAGACGCGATCTTGCCAAATGCTGAGATCAGCGCGACTCGGATTGCATGCAGCACCAACAGTTCGACGATATACAGAGTATGGAAAAAGACAGTGAAATCATCCCTCCTCTTGATATTCTGGATTGCTTTCTGGCATACAGCGTAGACCGCATTTTTCACATTTTTTCATCTGGGTTTGGTTTTCGGAAGTGTGCCAAATAGCTGAGGGAACAAATCGTCTGGGTATCAAAGAAAGGCCGTGGAGGAGCAAGCGTTGCGCGGGCTGATGTTTGACAAGGATGCGAACAACTTGCCTGAGCTCCTCAGGTTCCTTAGAGCGCGCGGCGGGAGGGACTCAAAAGACACACAGCTTATGCGGTGGGCTGATGCTGAGGGGGCATCCGGTTGCCTACAGGCATACCGGGATATTGTTGACTTGCTTGCTGCTGCTGCTGGAGGTTCTGATAGTAGGCCATTTGCTGCTGCTGCTCGTTCGTCATGTAACCGGGGTGCATGCCTGCAGGGCGGGGCATGTTCTGCTGCTGAGGGTTGACATTGGCGTGGCTGACATCTTCGGGAGTCTCAGCAGGCACCTCCGGGGCGTCGACGCCGTTCTCATTGGCGGTCGGATCGGGAGCGTTGAGACAGGCCTGCAATGGAGAAGTGTGAGTCAATCGGGCTCAATTGACCGAGACATCGGCGGACGCCACTCACCTGAATCAGGTTCTTGCCCTCCGGCTTGGTCACCAATGGTTGGAGCTTAGGGGTGGTGAAAGTATACACGAGACCGGTCTCAGACACGACCAAAAGCAGTACTTGAGTACCAGTGAGGACGGAAAGTTCATATGCCTGTTTTGCGACCGCGATGATGCGTCAGTACTAGTCAAGCGGACGGGGACAATGACTTCACGCGAGCATCACGCATTGATGCGGAAGATCTTGAGCTCATGTAGCGACAAAGAACAAAGAGTCGCGAATCGACTGGCATTGCGAATGATCGAGGGTGGGCAAAAAAAAGAGGTTGACGAGGCTGAGACGCGCAAGCACGTACCTTCTTCATGATACCCGCCTTCCGCTTGGAGAAGGTGATGTGGCGACGCGACTTATCCTGAATGAACTTGATTTCAATCTTTCTGCGCTCGCGACCCGGCTTGTCATCATCGTCATCGTCGTCGTCGGCAGCGCTCATGCGAGAGCGTTTGGTGCCGCGGTTGTCAGCGGCGCCGTTACCGGCGGCCTGCTGCAGGTCGTCCTGAGTGGGAGAAGGGTTCTCTTCACCGACGGCGGTGATGTCGGCCATGGTTTGAATGAGGTGATTAAGAGGGGGGAAGGGGGGAGGAAACTTGAACGAAAAGGAAATCCTTTGAGAGAGTAAAGTGAGGAAGGAAGATACTGGGGGACGTGAAGACAAATGCCCAAAGAGGAATGATGCTTTTGAGGGGGAGGGAGAATGACCAAATCGAGTAACGCGTTTGCTTCGCAGGGTTTGGGTTCAGGACGAGAAGGAAAGAGAAAACGGGGGGGGAAGCGACTGAGTGAGGAGAAGGTCGAAGAAGGCAAAGTGCCGGTTGGGACAGGCAGGCGGTCAGTCACGTGGATAGGTCGGTGGGTGGGCTCGGTATCTTTGATCGTACCCCCGGGAACCGGTTTCGTACCGCTGGCTGATGGATGGATGCATTCTTCCCATCTTCCCATCTTCCCATGGGGGAGAGAGCTTCCATCCCTTTTTGTAGAACTGGTACACTACAACCTACAACCTACAACCACAGGTACTTCAGGCTACTCAGGACTACACTGATTGCCCACTGATCTTCACTGTACCTCCAAGTCATCTCTCCTCCTCCTCTACCTCATCTTGCAGAGTTGCTCTCCCGCAACGCCGCATACTCATTATTCACCACACCCCAAACTTGGCTCCAATCTTTCGGTCACAATACGGGCGGTGTCCAGACCCGACGGTGGGGAAGCCTGGCTCTTGGCCCGAGTGTCTATTGGCGCAGCCGCAGTAAGGCATTGGGGGAATCGATTGTAGAGGCCAACTCACATTCCCCACCCGAGGTTTTATTACCGTATCCGTTTTGTCCGCTGGCTTCCTCCCATCCACCATCCAGAAAGGGAATCTAGTGTACAGACCGTGGACCGTGGACACTGTAGGTGTGTAGTCGAAAACTACTCCGTACGTACACTCACAATTCAGCAGAACTTAAGGATTCTGGGTTGTCAAGCTTCAAGCTCATCACTTTGATCACCAACTAGTCCTTTAGATCCGGTCATGTGCCGACCTTCAGAATCGCATTCCACTTGGCCAGGTCTAGCGGTGCTTCCTCCCGTGTACGGTAAACCCCAGTACGCAGTACGGGGAGCGGCGCGCGGGCAGTTCGCCCCCAAAACCAAAACATTACTACTTCCAGTAACTTACTAACTCAACTACTCCGTACAGACCTGGCAATTGTGCTACCGAGACGCAGAGAGACCGGCCAGTGACCTGCAGACGCCTTGTTCTGACTGCGTAGCACTGTAGTACCTGCTATGTACTCTCTCGCTCTCAGTCCAAGATCAACCAGCAGGCCAACCAGCTAGCCAGCTCGGTAGAAACTTCTACAGTTTGGAGGGGGAAGTGCATTCCACACCATCCTAGGGCCTACACTAACTAGACAGTCACCTCCGTACTGAACTGCCGCCTGTCCCCCGGGTTGTGCTCTTGCATGCATGCAACCCTATAAACTCAAGTCAGCCAGGATTTACCTACTGTAACTACTAGGTACCTACCTACCTACCTACCTACTATGCCAGCCGTCTCCCTCTTCAACACTCATTGACACTTTTCAACAATATTCTATCGATACGTCATGGACCATAACTATTACCTAACGCCCCAACCACAACGATTATGCCTTGGACACCAGCATTGGAAATGCAGGGATCCAAGAATAGCCACTGACAGCAGAGGATTCACAGGGGAAACGCACGCAGCCTGAGGCCCTACTATCAGCAATAATTGCCCCAATTATTCCCACCCAGCACCAATAATATATCTTCCCCGTCCTCTAGTAGCTTGTCCAGTCGGAGGCCACACACATCCTCCTCCGCAGGTAAGCACCCATCCATCCCTTGAAACCGGAACCGGCCCATACATTCCAGAGCCTGGATGACTGTAGTTTTCTAAGTACGCAGATGCTGGAACAACTTACCCTGTGCTCAGCCCTCCACAGAAACCCCAGCAAACCAGCGTGGACAACCATATCGACATCTTCAACAACACAACACTGCCTGACAAAAACGAAATCTCGATCATCAGTTCCCAACTCGTGCAAGATCCACCATCGACCAAAGGTTCCCTTCCTGTAGGGCTGGGCCCGAATAGTACTGTACCTTGAGCCATAAGTCATGGGATAGAACTAGACCTGTTCCGTATGATATACCCAGGATTTCCCCGCGGACACCCAACCCGGGATGACGGTGACAGTTCGAGATCATGATGTCCGCCATGTTTTATCGAGTATGAAACAATCTACAACTACACCACTACGCAACAACCCTCATCCACCAAAATCCACCAAATATAGTAGATTCAGCTGCTGGGACTCTTCATACTAAGAAGCACGTAAAAAGATCGACACCATCAAATCTCAGCAGCAAGCAAGCATCAAACTCCCACTCCACTATATTATGCTCACCACAACACACCTGGTATATATCCTCCATCCCGTCCCATCCAATCCCAACCTTGAAAAGCCCATACCATCGATCCCACAACTCCCACCCCGAAACCGAAAGCCTCCAGGGTTACATTCTCCCAAATTCCCCACCAAACTTACTTTCAACCCCTCATCACACCCCACACATCACTGCACCCTCAGCCAGAAGCATAGGTAAGCCTTTGATAGGATCCAAGGTCAAGCTTTCAGGCGTTCCGAGCTTACGACTGGACCCATCAGCCACGGCATGGCCTAAAAGAAGAAAAGAATAAACCCGCCGATCCAACTTGACCTCTTGACCAGCTGCATAGCACACAGTAACCAACCACCAAGTCATCCTCATGTACAGTACTGTAAAACAAAAGATGACAAGCGAGGAACTAGAAAGTAGATCGGATATCACCCTTCACGCCCTCCAGCAAGCCCCCAATCCCACCACCTCCAATATCACCAACCCTCCCCCTAAGCATCCCGCAAATCCCCTGACTGGAGAACAAGAACTCGCAGCCCGGGAGAAACCCACCTAACTCACCCTGATACAACCAGGACGGATGCATACCTCCCTCAAGTTCTCAGGCTGCATCCCATCAATTTAGTATATAGTATATCCTTCCCAAGCGCGGACGAAGTAGCATAGCTTCCAAGCTGCAACCATAACTATAACAAACAACACAACAAACAAACAACCAATCAACCAACCAGCCTATATACACCACCATACCCAATCCCCCGAGCCACATACCCACAAGTACAAAAGTACATACCCCCAAGCCCCCAAACCCAAAGCCCCAAGACCCCACCTCTTCAAGATCAACACAGTATAAATATCAGGCTACCTTAGTATCATCCATCGCCTACTCCCTCGTCTCCCCTCCCCCTCCACCCCCCAAAACAATTCAATCCGACAAAATCATATATCTCACCCACACCACCCACTCCACCTCACAACCAACCAAACCCCGGAACCAGGACCCTCACCCCTTACATTGTCCTACCACCCAAGAATACATAATAGGCTCTAGTCCTCCCGGGTTCCCAAGTTCAACCCGCCGCCTGCAGTGCCTATCCCAGAGCCCCCAACCAGAAAAAACACAATGTGGCTGTGTTGGGGCGGGCGAACGTTCTCGGGAATTTTGCTGGGTGAGTAAGGGAAACTGGAAAGTCGTTTGTCTGTAAGTGCACGTGAGGGCATGTTATCCTGTGGGGAGGGGATGGATTGTCGATATGATATAATTGGGGCAATGGTTCGAGATTGAATGTTGGTTGGAATTCGGTTAGGGATAGGCGATGAAGAGAGATTGGAGACGACAGGGTTGTAAGACTTGGTGTGTGGTGCTAGCTTACTGACAGTAGAATGCTTTTTGTACAATGCTGAAGAGCAGCTAGAACTGATAGGCTGCTGAAGTATAGATAGAGAGTTTAGTCGAGAACCTCCGACAGACGCCGACAGCGGCTATACTTCGTCTGGCCGACACGAGCAAAATCAGCCCAGAAATTAACTTGGAAATGATGACTACACACACACACACACGCAAACTCACAATGCTAAGATTATTCTAGGAATCTATAATTCTATATACCAGGAGCCTAGAAAGACAGATCTAAGACTTAATTCGTGATATGCGGCCGGACAACACCCGCCACGATACATGCGCTAATCTCCAGGACAAAGCAAAAGACAAACCAGCGTTAACCGCGACTCCGTGGTCGGGGAGAGACGTGGGAGATCGAAAGAGGTTCTATTTCTACAAGTGGTATGCATCAAGAAGGATCAAGCCTCGAACATCACGGTGAAAAAGACAAGGAAAAACAAAGAGAGTGTAGTAGTGTCCGGGCTGGCACCTCGATCAACCCACCGAATTGAGGCGAAACCTTGATCGAGCCATAGTCCCGAGTTTCTCGTCCGCTGAAAACCAGCAGTTCCCAGTCCTTTGATCGACCGCGCTCATGCCTTGACTCCGCCGATGACAACGCCGAGTATGAAACAAATTGATCAAACAATAGAGAACAGAAATGCCGAAGGAGGTCAGGGTTCCGAGAAAAGAATTGATACACCCGGTCCAATCCCTTATACGTCTGTCCTTGTTTTCAGCTATATCGTCGTCGACATTCGAAGTAATTTGGCAAAGGTGTTGATAGGGAAGCAGCAGAGAGATAGGAAAAGCAACAGAAAAATAATAAATAAAGAGAATGAAAAATGTGCAAGAAGAGAAGTTATGCAGATTCCAAGGACCAGCCTTAGTTTCGTTCATATGATTTTTGATTGTCTGATCTCAAGGCTCAGTGTTGCCTGCGAACAGCAAAGTCCTTGATGCCTGCACCGCCACCGCCCTTGGGACCGAGCCAGACAATCTCGATCACGCTGTGGCCTTCATCTTCCTCACGCACATACCACTGATGAACATTGTCACCCACAATATAGGCTTCGCGCAACAACCAACGATCCTTGGTGACACCGTCCTGATCCCTCCAGCGGAGAGGACCGAGGCGGGCCTCATAACCGCGGGGGTCTTCTTCCCAGGTCTTCTCGGCATGGTCGAAGTTAATGGCATCATCGGGGGTGTTCTCATCGTAAGTGTACTTGACAAGCGAGTATCCGTTGGTAAAGACCCAGAAGGTGCGAGTTGACCGTCCAGTAGCATTGTTGACGATCTCCTCCTGATCGAAGACCCAACGGCGAAGAACCGAGCGGCGACCTGCAGCTGCAGCCACAGTAGTCATCTTAACAACGTCCTTGGTGTACCAACTGTTCCAGTGGTGGAGAGACTCGATCTTGCGACCAGACTCGTACACACCATCGACTTCACCCTTCATATCCATCTGGTAAAGAGAGGGCCAGAGAGTAAGGGGGGTGTCTCCGTAACGCTGAATGCACTGGCCAAGCTTCTGATCACCCGGTTGCTCACCCCAAGACTGGCACTCATCGTATTTGTCCACCAAAACATCGAGGAGCGGCTTCGAAACGAAAACACCAGCACCGCCGAATGCGATGTGACCGAAAGTGTCCACCTGCCAGCTGGCCTCAGACAGGGCACCGATGTAGTGCTTCTTGCTCGCATCAAAGAGCTTCAATTCCTCCGCAACCGTAGGGAGAGACAGGAAGAAGGTATCGTCATCGATGAAGCTGACCCATTGGGTTTGAGGGCGCTTAGTCTTGATGTGTTCCGCAAACGCCTGCACAAGACCGAAGTAACGAGCGGTGAAATCGAGAGGGGATTGGATGAGTGTCAAATCCAGACCGCGGTTACGGAAGTAAGTCTCCTGCTTGGGAATGTCGTCGTCAGAATCGGGAACGAGCACGATCAATCCGACCTTGGTGTTGCCGTAGGAGTAGAGGAGGGATGGCAGCAGGCGATCGAGACGGTCGGCAGTGGTGGCGAGACCGAAAAGAAGCTTGTCAGTCTCGTCCACATCGTGATCAGCGGCGACATTCACATCGATGACGGGCGGGCAAGGCAGGGACGATTCCTTGTTATCGGGCGAGACGACCATACCGCGCTCCATAACGGTCATGGGAGGAAGAACGGGAACCTCGATGCTCTCCAATGAGCTGAACTCGGCCTTGGGGCTGACATGGTGAGGACGGAAATAGGCACGAGTGTAGTTCTTGCGTGGGAGCCATTCAGCCATAGGCAGAGGAGGCTGGATATTGGGGTCAACATCGCAGGACTTGGTCGAGGGCGACGTGGGCTGTAGCTGAATTTGAGGGGAGGTCGTTCCAGCGACGTGATCGGCCGGCTGCTTGAAACGCAAGAAAGCCGCCCGATCGAAGCGCTCAACGCACCAGAAGAAAAAGGCGATTGAGAGAAGGGCAATCAGCGGAACCGCTGTTTTCATGCGAAACACCGGCATTTTCGGGGTCTTTGTTCCGTAGTCTTTGAACATGAAACAGATGCCACAGAGTTTGATTATTAGACTTTATTTCGTGATATTAGAACGGCTCGTGAAGAGAGAGGAGTCGTCGTCGTCGTCACCGATTTCGAATCTCGTCAACAATCGTCGGGAGAAGCGAATGTCGGGCGGTAAGTTGCTGCAACGAAGGGAATTGGCGAATAGATGACCAAAGTATTCTCTACTGCCGGGAGAGACTGTCAACGAAAGGCTGGAAGCGTCGAGACCTGCGACACGGTCACAGAGATGGCGATTTGAGCCAGAATAGAAGGTACTGTGTGAAGGAAAAGGTCGCAGGGACAGCGAAGTTGTTGAGGCGAGAATGAAAAGTGGCCAAAAGGGAAAATCGGGCCAACGGGAAAACGAGTCCACCAACACAACTGGACAAACGCGCTCACCAAAAGGGAGAGGATGAGAGGACGGAGAGGTAGAAGGAGGAGGAGAAGAGGGGAGGGGAGGGGATTGTTGGTTGTCGAGTGTTGCGGGACGGAGAAGGGAAAAGGAGAAGAAGAAGAAGAGGATGAGGAGGAGGGGCGCTTGGAAGTGAATATTAAGAGCGAGACTTGGAGAAGGACAGGAGAGCGAATGTCGGACCGCCTGAAGAGTTGAGGAGAGCGAAGGACAGGCAACATTCAGATTAGTTTAGTTCAGTTAGTTTCTAGCTGGATCCCAAGTGGGAATGCCGAAGATTGGAACTGGACCACGGGCTGGGTTTCGATGGGGCCAAAGCTTTTCCACTCTCTGCACTTCTTTTTCTTTTTTTCTGTTGCTTTTTTTCCCTCCCCCTACCGAGTTAAATTAATGCGCAATCAATAAGCTTGCTCGCCCGTCGCTGGAAATTACCCTTTACCCAATTTTTGATATTCTGTACCAACCAATGCGGGTTTGAGGGTCTCAGTTGTCGGGATTCTCTTCCCAACTATCGTATTGTTCTTGGTTGCACTGCAGGGTCAAATGGAAGAGACGCGAGTGTATGTGTGAGTGTGTGAGAGAGAAAGAGAAGGACAAAAAGAGACAGCCAGACAGCCAGAGACATAGGAAAGAGCTGTGAGGGGCAGATTGGGACAATAGTGAAGTGGTTCTTATCCTCTTCCTGTCTGGCACCTTCCCGCAATGGTGTAATCTACATCCGTTTCTACATACACAGTACTATCAATGCTCCGCTCGTATAAACCTCCGTGGTCTTTTCTTCTGGCTTCTTTCTACCGTGCTCCCTTTACGTAGGTTAAAGGCCTTCTTTCCTGCTGCTTCTGGTGCAGATCCTGACTTAAGAATAGAGGCAAAATTGGCGATGGCGGATGGGTCCTTTTTTGCTGCTCCCCACACTTCGCCCGGTGCCTGCCCGTATTTTTCAATTCCAATTACCATTGCAGGACCCTGGCCATTCTACAGACCGTCCTCGAGACGCGTTGAAGCCCACGATTTGTAGGCTGATACATCCATGGTCATGTCTATCGCCGATGGAGAGATTGACATTGACAAGACGAAAGTGATAGATAGAGTATGTATTCCATGGATGGCATGTTCCAACAACCGTCAATGCACTTGGCTTTCCCCAGGTCCTTCTCGACTTCCCCGTCTCGCAATCCTTCCGAGACCCTCAATGCACCTTTTTACATACATGCATACAGATACCGATTAGAAAGAGCTCTCCCTTGAACAAAATCAACCGGTCAACCACCGGAGAAAGCCGACCAGAACGGATCGAATAAAGACCACCTGTTCTTTTTTAAACTCCCTCGTGTTTCTCGGGTATTCTCTACAGATGTCGTGATGTGGCCCACTATGGCACGAGACGATGATTGTGTTTGCAACATAGTACATGTACACCATGTATGAATGAGTACTTGTATGCGCGTACTCTGCTTAGTGACATTTGCCCTCGCCGACACATTCGAGATCCCTGATCGATTGCGTAGTCGTCAACGTGCACGCCGAGAAATCTCAGACAGTCGATCGCCCGCTGCTGCCTTGACCTATCTATCCCAAACCCGGGCTCTCCCGTGTTACAGAACAACGGTAAGTAAGTTAAGTATCAGATGATGGAAGTGACAGTGACAGCTTGTCTTTTTTGGGAGGGTGGAAAGGGGGGGGGAGATCGTGGGTGGCGGACAATAAGAATGGGCTTTTCTTTTGTGCTTCGCTCCATCCCGGAAGGGTTAAGTTGCGATGGCTTCTCGGAATGTTCCAGTGGTGAGTTCATGAAAAGCGCAGCCACTGCCGTATGTGAAAATGCACTGGATTCTATTCTTATCGTTATCGTATTTCGCCTTGCTTGACTCTTTCAAGGTTTCTAACAGTGCATCGATGAGTCGGTGGCTGCAGGTTCAAGTTTTGCTTCTCTTTTTTTTCTTCTACCCGGGGGGTTTCAACCCCCCCCCCACGGATTATGAAAAAAAAAATTGCAAAACAATTACCAGTGAGTGTCAGATTGCGCGACAGACAGACAGACAGAGCATGTTGGAAGCCAACTTCAGTAGTGAAGACTGGGATGAGCGCGGCGTGTTTGGTGCAACGCCCTTTTGGATCTGCGTGCAGTTTCCCGCCGGGCCAGCCACTCAGGGGCGACTTGTTAGGGGGATGGGCCAGTAGCCCCACGGGCCGCGTGTCCCATCAGGTTGATCATCCTGCCCTGTTGATGTGGAATTACAGTGTAAGTAATGCTGAAAATATGAAAATGTGCAAAGGTGAAACTAGTCTCAGTGCCCGTCAGCAACATTTCATCTAACCCATCAATTCCTCACTGTCGATAGGCCAGTCATAATACACTCAGCACTAACCACTACCACCATTCCATGGTGCCCGTTATTGCGTAGGGACTGGGGGATCATTTCAATATATCCTCTTCAATCTGCTACCGCTCGGTCTTCCGTCACATACACGCACGCTCCGAGTGTGATTTACTCAGCAGAATGGTACTCGAGTAACTTGTATCTAAAAAGAACCACACCCAAGGGACAAGAAAAGTGGACTGACTACCTAGTACCTCTTCAATGTAAACGTTCTATCTATAGCAGGTTAACCATGGATACTTCTCCGGCCACATATTGAGCGCCTTACAATCATGTCTCCCCCGCCCGCCCGGCCGTATCGCCGCCGGACTGCGGCGCAGTGGCAAACCAGACGACCCCCAGCCTTGAGCCTCACAGTCACAGGTGTATGGGTAATGGGCTGACAGGGCCAGAGGATTCGCCTCCGAGAATCCTGGACATGTACCTGGTGGCAGTTATGGTACACTCGTACTCCGGCCATAGTGGATCGCGATCAGCAAAGTCCAAACCATGAAACCTGGTGATTCAGAGTCCAATGATATACAGTAGACTTCCGGAGCCTGTTGTCTGGACGCGTGTACGCCCGCGACCTGCCACTGACTACGTACTGTTGCGCCTACGAACTGAACCTTCATTGATGGAACTTTTCTTGTTGTGCATCCGATGAGGGAGGGGGTTTTCTCAGTCGACTAGGCGCATAGCCGGCTGGCCAAGTCTGGGGGGAAAGGGCACGTTTTATTCGGCTCAACATCAACCATCTTGACGCGCGGTGAAAGAGAAAAAGCAGATTCAACAGAAAAGGATCTACAAGGTCATTCCCTCTTTTGCAATGCCTGCAATGCCCTTGGGCGGGTGGCTATTGTCGACTCGCCAAAACTCAATGCCGGGTAATTAAGCTTGAACGCCAGCCTTGGCAGCTGTCAGGGACCCTGGAAATTTTGACGATTCGTACAGCTGCTGAGATCGATTGTCCATCTTGCTGGCTTCCGTCTGATGTACTGTAACTACTTAGCAGGTCTGTCCGGGTTTCCGACATGTCAGACTACATGCAGACAACAGCTCTGCCATCTGTCTTCTTCCACAGTACATACATCAGCTCTCCAAACAATCGTACAGGTTACGCAGAGTTGAAGGGAAGAAAAAAACCCTCCCCCTTCCCCCCGAACTTCACTCCAATTGTGGCCGTTCGGTCCCCAGCTGTCTGTCAATCAATCCTGAACAAAGACAAGCGCCCCCCACTGACAGACAAGACACCCCCCCCCATCACCATCGCTAAATCTGGAAAGATGAGCGGCTACTCAATCGTCAGCAAACGCGCTTTTTCCACAACCGGACAGAAAGAGAATCGGAGCCCAAAATAAAAAAGAAGCAGATGGGCAAGCACAATTGCAGCCCCCGTGTACGATGACATCAAGGGCAATTGGCAGTTGGCAATGGGTCCACAACTATCTCTTTCTTCCATCTCCGCTCCGTGCTAGCTACGTAGTGTTCGCTGAGTTCAAGGTTCTCCCATTCAGGGTCCAAAACGGCTCAGGCTGTCCTTCTTCCCAAGGGTGCGGTTCCCGGGCCAATGGCCATCGAACCGGGACTTTTCCTACTTTGCAAAGAACGGGACGATGTTCTTCTATGCTATGCATGGATTTCTTGGTGGTTCGTTAAGAATAATTGTATAGTGCGTAGCTCGTCGCATGGCGGGCCTTGACGCGGTTGGGACATAGACTCATTGCCTTGCTCCATGGGACTAGACTTTGTTGATAGAGTCTCGTCGTCGGTTTAGCAGCCCGCAGCCGATCCGCCGGGACTTTTCACCTCCCTCCCATCCCGCCAGCAGTCAACAAACCGGGCGGGGTGTCATGCATAAAGGCATACTCTTGTGAGAAGAGAGTCTCAGTATCACCTTGACGCAACGGGGTTCGTTCCACCAACGACGTGGTGCATGCAGCTTCCCGGCAGTACTCACCACCTTGATGTTTCCTCAACATCTATACGGAGTATTCCGTAGAGACCAAATATGAACAACACCAGTGCCAGTCCTCCGTATATAATCTCTACTCCAAACGCATACGTACTCAACCTCCCAGCCACCTACCAGAAATACACCTACCTATATCCATGATGCCATATCCCGCCATGATCGAGCCATGTGAGGGCATTCCCAACCTCCTCCAACCTCCTCTGTACCCAGTCAGGTAATCTACTTCCATATCACTCCCTCGGAACCATACCCGCACCCAACAGGCAGCAAACCGGTGAGCGTATACAATTAATTCACTCTAGTCACTACTTCTTGCTTCCAGAAAAAAAAAAGCCTTCCCTAATTTCCCCCAATCACGGACATGCTAAGAACCTCCCACACCAAATCCAGCAAATTCAAGTAAGTACGGTAGTTCCCCCCCCCCCCCCCCTTCCTTCTTGGGCCGCTGGGCGAGCCGACTATTGAAAGACAGCGTGTTTCAGATGTGATCGAACGTGGGGGGGGGTAGGGGGGGGTGCGGGAGGGTGCGCGGCCCACTCGTTCTCCCTTTTAGGGGGCTGTTATTCTAACGCGGGCGGACACTTCTCTGCTTTTCTGCATGCTACTCGGCATGATGTCCCAGTTAATTTGGAGGGTGCGGGAAAAGTGAAGGATATGATTGAGGTAATGCGATGCGATTTCGGGAGTTCAGTTCGTGGGATGTGGTGTTCTTGTCTTGTGGGTTTGGGTGTGGTGCCAGCGGTGGTGGATGTAGACGGGTGGAAAGGATGATGATGTCTGGGAACTCCGGTTGGTATCCTTCTGGGAAAGGAGCGAAAATCAGATACGCACCGGAGGAGACAAGGCGGGCAGCTTGCTGGCTTGGATTCGGTGTTGATAAGCAGGTACATAGTACATGTACAGCACGTCTCCAGGTACGTTCAGGTACAAGTGCCATACAGTGCAGCAAGTGTTACAGCCACGAGTGCCACGGAGCTTGATCCCATCTCACAAGCTGCACTAGCTGAGCTTGTCGCTTTGTCAGGCTGCATATGACATCTGCAAGATAGGGGATACAAGGTATTCCGAAGGTCGCACATCGGCTACGGAAGAGTGGGAGACAGCTCATGTGTCACCAAAGATTAAATTCAAAGTGCCAACTTGTGGATTATCAGTTCTATCAGCGAAAGCTCTATGATCATTAAGTGTTCGTCAGATCGTCACTGTAGTAATACAGAGAGCATTTACAGCTACATCATTCCTCATAAGCACCCTCACGATCCTCGAACGTCATGAATTCGTGGTCGGTGGCCTCATCTCCCATGATAGCCTGCCAGGCATCCTTGACCGTGTCAATCAAAGCATCATCGAAAGCAAGGTCAAGGCTTGGGGGTGGAAGGCGGATGAGACGCTCAACTGGGTTGGCAGGCTGAGCGGAGCGAGTCTCGGCTCGTCCCAACTGAGTATAACGGAGCGACCAAAGAACTTGTGCATTGGGACCCCCGGCCGATTCAAGAAGCTGCTGTACAGCAAGATCAATCAAGGCCTGGCCATCGGACCCGGGCATGTTAATGCTACCATAAAGGACACCTGAGAAACATATTAGCAAGATGTTTTAAACAATCATGCAGCGGAGAAAAACAAAGATGTGGGGTGCTCTTTATCAGTCTTCGTGAAGTTTACATCAACAGTAATCAGGCAATGTAGATAAGTTTTGAAGATAAGTCATCATAAGAGCAGAGGGGTAGGAAAGGCAGGAGTCAAAAAGGATTGGGAACTTACATTGTCCTGTTGGGCACTCGCCCGTCTCGCTAGAGTGAACCAGAATGTAGACCGGAGGCGAATCATCAGCCCGCCCAAGAGAAGCACCAGGGAAAGCGACAACCGCCCCAACAGGCACCGGTCCGCCCTCCGCCGTGGCCGGAAAGAGGCTCTCGAGGGAAGATGAAACGACCGAGATGGACCGGGCTACTCTGTCACAATCACAAGACAAGCGAGCTGCTTCAGGGATATCCCAGTTGGAGCCGACGACAAACTTGGTCTTGATGACCTCGTCATTGGATAGCAGCAGTTGAATGCGAGAATCTTCATTCGTGGTATCCTCCGCGGGAAGTTCCAGTGACTGAATGCCAGTATTCAGAACATAAACACCACCACCCACGGCAAGGGCGCGGCACCCGACCTGAGAGATCTCGGAGCCACCACCCCACTTGACTGCAAGACTTCCAAAGCCAGAGCCATAGACACCCAACGAGGCCAAATGCCTCTTGATGCGAGTCACGGCAAATTGAGCCGACGTCTGTTGGGGAGAGGCTTGCGATAGACAGAGGGAAAGCAACGGTGCATGCAGCTCCTCCGGCACCTTGAATTTGGATGTCAGATACTCTGTCAAGGATGCATCACCAACGTCCTCTTCCAGCGACGAGCCTTCTCCCTCAGCTTCAACAGCGCCCAGTTGAGGCGGCCCGATATGACGAATGAACCTCATCAGGGTTCGTTTGGACTTCACGCTGATCATGTCATCCGCAAATATGTCCTCACGACTGCCCGGGACGCGATACAATCGCTTGTCACCGCTATCGCCAGGTCTGTGGATCCACCAGCTGCCGACGGCTTGAAACTCAAGCTGTCGGTGAACCTTAGACGAGACCAAGGTCGGAAGCAACTGCGAGCGGGCATAGATAAGCTGCGGAGACAGCGAGAGAGTGTATGCTCGAGAAGAGGACAACTGCGTACCAGCCTCAGGAGATCCATCTCCTAGGCGTACGCTAGCATCTTCGAAGGGGTGATCACCAGTCTCTTCACTTATCAATACCCGTCAGACAGTGCTCAGATTGTAGCTAGAGAACGATGGACATACCACTGTTGACTCTATTGACCCACTCCTCGGCTTCCTGAAGGCTGAATGCAGCTTCGGCGCCCCCGTAGTAGGGATTTCTATCAACATGCAGGACGTTCTTACCCGACCGAGACAGGGCCCTGTCAAGCACCCAGCAGTCAGCGATGCAGTTGACAAGCACCTTCATTGAATAGAACTCACAGTGCTAGGAGAGACTGGGCCAGCCCAGTGCCGGAGATTGTTACATCCCACGGCGTATCCGCTAGTGACTCCATTGCGATGATGACTTGGCAGCATACAAAGCTAGAATGAGGGGCTTAGTCTTGTAGTGATGTGTTGAGCAAAGCCAGCTGCCGTCACGTTGGATGACAAGCTGTTGAACACCTTCGTAGCAGGAATATCCAGCCCATGGGTGGTGCAACCCAAATCATTCCTCTCGAGAACGAGAAGGTATTTTACTGGGAGAAAAAGAAATCGAAGGACGCGCGAAGAAATACATGACCCGCCGTGGTGGATCACGTGAGGAACATCACCGGACCCGCTCTAGGTGTCCATGGTGACATTTGCAAAAAATGATACAAGTGCATCGAGTACCTCGGTGATCTGTATTTGTCTAGAGAAAGTGAGTTATTGCGTGCTTAAGAATAATCTTCACCAGCTATTCTGTTAATACAAGACAAAGACAAGGAGCTATGATGAATGGATAGGTAATGCTGGAGCTGTAATTTGCATTCGACACAAAACACAGCGCTATAGATCAAGCTCTGTACTCCTGGAAATCCAGCCAAGCTTTGCTCATCCCCATAGAGTCCTTTCAGAGCTAGCTAAAAGTTCATTTCTACTACATAGTACTTCGTATAGCAGAGGAGCTATGCGTTGTTGAATCATACATGGAATACATGTGCCTTAGGCTGCGAGTCAAAGCACTACTCCTGATACGGTTAGGCGGCATCTGGGAGAACCGCTTAAGGAGCAATTCTCCCACAACCTCAGGTTTCTTTCTTCTTCACACCACTCCTAGTGCTCTGCACAGGCTTACTGCTGTCTCAATCGTAGCAGTATGTCGTCCGCGGACAAGCCTTCACTGGTCCTTGTCTTATTAGGAGTGGTAGAAAGAATCTTCACTCTGTATCTGCTGCTCTGGATGGTAACATCTGATGGAAGCGGTTCGTTTTGTAGTGATACATTCCACTCATCTAAAATCATCTGTCTGTCTGCGAACTACATGAGTGTACCTTCTCTCCTTCGCAGATAGCAAGCTGTAGCTTCTGTACCTCAACAATTGAGCCATGTATCGCCGTGATGGCACCGAAATATGGCTGTCAGTGCTGTGCGTGACGCCGCCAATAGCGTGGTTACCGGCGCCAGGATGTTTCTCAAGCTCTGGTCATCCTGACCTCCATATGGCCCGACGACTGTCCTGTGTTCCACTGGCAGGAAGTAGACATTGCTGGGATGTGTCAATGGAGCTCTTTGGTCCAATCTGCCTCGCAGTATTCAATGTTCCCCCATAACGATCTCATTCGTCCGTGCCTTCTTCCACGACCCTGGCGCGGATGATCTTGACCTCGTCCATCGGTCTATCCTCGCCATTCGTCTTCACGAGACCCATGCGCTGGATCACCCTCATGCCGCTCTTGACGCGGCCGAAGATAGTGTGCTTTCCATCCAGCCACGGCGTCGGTGCCAGCGTGACGAAGAACTGGCTGCCATTGGTGTTGGGACCGCTGTTCGCCATGCTCAGGATGCCAGCTCCGGTATGCTTCAGGTTGGGGTTGATCTCGTCCTCGAATTTCTCGCCGTAGATGGAGCTTCCTCCTCTTCCAGTTCCGGTAGGGTCACCAGTCTGAACCATGAAGTTGGGGATGATGCGGTGGAAAATGACGTCGTTGTAGTATCCTCGTTGCGCAAGGGTTGCGAAGTTCTTACACGTCTAGATGATATGGCATGAGTCAGCTCAGAAGAACCTTGAAGTGTGCGTAGTGAGCTTAGTCTTTCTGTGACTGACCTTGGGCGCATGCGCATTGTAGAGCTCGACAGTGAACGAGCCCTGGGACCTGTTAGCAGCTTGAACTTTCTGGAAAAGCTTCGCCATAGACATACCATGCTCGTATCAAATGCTACATCAGTGGCCATTGTGAGAGACAAGCTAGCACTCGAGTACTGATATGCGAATTTTTGGAGGGGAAGGATGGGACATGCAAAGGTGGAGTGCGGCGGGAAAGTGAAGATTGGGCCTTGGCGTTGCATATTCACGCGGAACAATGACCGCATCCCAAGATACTGGTAAACACACTGCTTCAACAGCTATGGCCTGAGCACTTTCTGCCCCAACTTTCAGAACAACCATTTCGCCCCCCTCACATAGGCAGCATATATCATAGCTCAGCCATCTCACCCCTGCTCCAGGCCTCCGCAGCCACCATGGACGACGTCAGCCCTTTCGCGGAGATCCTGGGCCAGGTCATCTATCAGTTTACCCTCATCAAGCCTCTTCTCCCAACCTACGGCCACCTCCTCCTCTCCGCGATCTTTCCTATCTATATCGGCGCGCATGCATCGTTAGCGAAACCGCCATCGGCCACAAAACCCCCCAAGAAAACACAAGACTCCGAGTACGAATCGGATGACGATGAGTCGGAGGAGGACAACAAAAGCAACGGCCACAAGATGGAGGGTCTGGCACCAAGCGACGCCTTGATGTTCCCTCTCACAGCCGGACTCACACTCGGAGGACTGTATCTGTTCATTAAATACAAAGGGGCTGAGACGCTGAACAAGATCCTTGGTTACTACTTCTCGCAGATGGGGCTCTTCTTCGCCATAGCGTTCTTGAAAGACTTTCTCTCTGTCGTCAGATCCTTCGTCTTTCCAAGGAGATACAGCTCTGCTGGCCGAACCTGGAAACAGAAACCCTCCGAGAAGGCTTTCATCGCCGCCAAAGACGACCCAAACAATCCTCAATCGGCAGACAGTCGGCGTTCTCCTCTCCCCGGCGTCTTCAGCCGAATTCCACTCCCTGGTCTTGTACGTACTGCGATCTGGAAACTTCGCAGCACGCTATACTGGCGGGCCAAGCTTCGCGTTCATGTGCATCGACTTGTGCGTGGTGAAGTCTGGCTGGATATGCTGGATCTCCTCAGTACCCTCCTGGCGTTGCCCGCGATCGGCTACTTCACCTTCGTCACCAAGCCATGGTGGCTGACCAACTTCTTGGGCTTCAGCTTCTGTTACGGTACCTTGCAGTTCATGTCTCCGTCGACCTTCGTGACCGGATCGCTCATCCTGGGATCCCTGTTCTTCTACGACATCTACTTCGTCTACTTCACCCCGCTGATGGTGACAGTCGCCAAGAAACTCGATGTGCCCATCAAGCTTCTTTTCCCGCGGCCTCCGGTCTCTGGCGAAGCTCCGGACACCGTGTCGCTGGCTATGTTGGGCTTGGGCGACATTATTATCCCGGGTATGATGGTGGGGCTGGCCCTGCGCTTTGACCTCTACCTCTACTACAAGCGGAAGGGCTTGCAGAAGGCTCGGGCGGAGGGCAACGGAGTGGAATTCATCAAGCCCATATATCAATCCGCCACTGGAGGCTGGGGAGAGCGTTTCTGGACGCGGTCTGTGGCACCGAAGGAGCCTGAATTGCAGCCCCCATACCACGATGCTCGGTCTTTCCCCAAGACGTACTTCAAGGCCAGTGTTGTCGGATACTTAGTGGGGATGATCGCGACGCTGGTGGTGATGCAGATCTTTGATCATCCTCAGCCCGCTCTCTTGTACCTTGTCCCCGGGGTCCTGATCTCTTTGTGGGGCACTGCCTTGGTTAGAAATGAGATCGGTGAGATGTGGGAGTTCAGCGAGGAGGACGAGGATGATGAGGAGAGCGACGAGAAATCAGAGGACAAGAAGGAGCATCCCGAACGCCAAGAAAATCTGGGCTTCTTTTCTCGCATTCTCTCCTATTGCAAGAACTCCGATAGCGGCCGTGCTGAGACATCCGAAGATAAGGACAAGAAGGCGGAAGGTGATGATGCTGATGATGACGATGGTAAAGACTCCAACACATCCAGTGACAAAGAAGAGGAGGCCAAAGACTTCGAATTGTTCACAGTCTCCCTCTTTCATCCCAACAAGGCGAAGAAAGCTCTCAAACCAAAGAGTCCCGCGCCCAGCAGTAAGTCGAGTGCGGCGGACGAAGAGAACTGGTCGGTTGTGGGCGCAGAGGGTGACAGTGAGCCTCCGACCAAGCGTCGTCGGCGAAGTCCTCGCCATGCAGGCGCAACCAGTCCTTGAAAGAATCGCTGAATCAGATGCATTGTTGGAGTTGCGCACTCGTTACGTTTTAGGTTGCTGGTGCTTGTTGACTTACCTTACAATAGTAAATCACTGACCACGAGGGAATGAGAAGAAAGCAATAGGAAAAGAGATGACAACGAATCTGGTATCATTTACTGTAACACTAGCTATTTTCACGCAAGTTAGAAGAATAAAAGGACGAAGAAATCTCAACACTGCTCCAAGATCAGCTTCAGACTCTCCCATCTCTCCGCCGCAGTATCCACCAACTGCTTCAACTCCCTCCCATCCACCGCCCACCCACCATTCTTCTCCATCTTAACAATCACTGTCTTCCCCATCTCCCGATCCACCACCAAACACACGCGCTCCTGACTCAACCCCTCCTCATACCCATCAGGATCCGCCAAGATCCACCGCCGCTGCATACCCCTCCGCTGATCCTCCTCAATCTTCTTCTCCTCCTCCGCATCCGGCACAATCACCGCCCTCCACCCCGCCGCGGCATCCGCCTCAAACACACAGAACGAGCTGGCGATTGGCAACCCCCGCAACGACAGCCTCGTCGCCTCTGCCACTGCCTCGGAGCACACGACCATCTCATTATCAGCATCCCACCACGCGCGCGGCAGCCGGGTATCCCGCAACGCCGCCAGGACCGCCGCCCACGCCGCGTCAAACGCATTCCCCGCCAGCGAGATGATCATGATATCGATATACAGGACCCAGAACGCCTTGATCTCTTTCCCGTCGTTCTTCTTCTTCCGCCCTTCGTCCTCCTCCGCATCAACATCCATATCCCCATCCCCTCCAAACGAAGGCACCTGATACCAAACCCGCAGATCCTCCGCCCGCACCAACCGGGTACTGTGCAACAGCCCCAGAATCTGATGGGAGAGGGACTGCGCGAGGGCCGAGGGCGGCGCGCCCGGCACGAACCCCGGCGCGCAGCCGGTGCTCAGCGAGAGGTTCGGCACCAGGAGGTTGAGGTCTTGGATGTGGGATTCGTCGGCGTCGGCGTCGGCGTCATTCTTGGTGGTCGTCGCACGTTTGTGAGCGCCGGACGAAGCGTGCGACACGCTCCACGAGGCGATGTCGCTCGTGGGGAGGAGTTCGGCGCGCACGCCGCAGACGGCGGTGGTGTCGCCGACGCGGACGACGGCGCTGCCGTTCGTGTGGGTGAGGGAGCCCGTGTTGGCGGAGGTGGGGCGGAACTGCGCGGGCTGGCGGCCGTTGGCGCGGAGGGAGGGTTGGTTGCTGGACGCGGGCGGGGAGAGGTGCGCGAGGAGGTAGGCGTGAGGTTGGAGGCGGGCGAATTGCGAGGGGGGGAGGGTCAGGGCTGGGGGCGGCGCTGAGGAGGCCATGATTGCGTTTTGAGGATGGTGGAGAGACTCGTTTCGTTGTTGATGCAATGCTGTGTTGGTAGCTTTCAAGATTGTATAGAGGGATTGGGAAGAGATGATGCGCTGGTTTGAACAACTCTTTGATTGTATGAAGGAAGGTTCGTAGGTTGGTTTGTCGGTGGATTCAAACTGCGTTGCATTTTTCGGCGGCAGAATTGTGGGGTTATCTTTGGGCGGTGAAGGGGGGAGCTCTAGTAGCCCAGCTGCTTAGCGTGTTAGAGCACTAGTCTGTATACCATAGATCGAGATCTAGCTGCTGCGATAGCCTATCTGTCGTCCAAGCAGTTTAAGGTGTTTCTTTACTCTATTGAGTCTAGAATATCTTGCTCGTGGATTTAAGCTGTTGGAACACATGTAGTTTGTCATTGCCATGAAGTAGCTTGATTGAGCGGATCGATCCCTATGAGTTTACCAAAACACAATAGTGCTAAGTACTATATCTACTCTTGATCTCGCTATACCATACTTCTTCGCAGCATCCAAGTACGCCCTTTCAGGCGGCGAGTGCAGGGGGAAAAAAGAAACCGCAGAAAAGAACATACCCGGGGCTGGGATTCGAACCCAGGCCTGTAATGGTGCGGATGGGTTTACCCCGAACGCAACTGCCGTGCTGACCGCTACACCACCCCGGGTCTCGTCGGCAGTACACGGCCAGTTCTTGACAACATGCTCCGCAGGTGTAAGTCAAGTGGCTGCAAAAATCGTGCGCAGCAGGCCCTGGCAAAGACACAATATACTGATATTGTGTCGATTGCGACTAAGCCGTTCACTCAATACGAGACCGAGCGTTTCGGACCCTGATTGCGCCTTATGTAGACCCCAAAGAGTTACCACGCGTATTCCACCGTTTCCTCCTTCCTCCCCAATATCCACATTGTAAGTATCGTCACTCCGAGGCAGGAGCGTTGGCGCAAGTGCAAGTGCAAGGATAGGATTTCGATGGTCATCTTTGAGCGTTGAGGGCTTCGCACGCGGATTGATGGAGAAGAGAAAGCTGAAAAGATGCACAAAGACAAGCTTGCCGAGGCTGGGATTCGAACCCAGATCTCCTCTCATGGCGAGAGGCGTGTTACCAGTTACACCACCACGGCGATTGTGAGCCGGCTGCCGAGGCTGGCAGCCTAGGTCGGTCCCACGCCTAGACAGCGCTTGCTCTCGAGCGCGGACTCGTTTCAGGCGAGATCTGCAGAGAAGCCACGATGTTCGCCCCGGCTGCGTGGTTACCGGTTTAGTGAGGGGCTAGCAATAAGCGACACTGACCTGGCTATGTTCTGCGCTCCTTCCTGCGATTCAAAACTGCGTGGTTGTCTGACAGAAAATACGGTTGTTCTGGGAAGCTGCGAAGGACACAGAAGGCAAAAAAGCGCCGCTACTGGGACTCGACCAGATCTCGCCGAAGGTAGCGGCGCGTCCTACCATTGCACTACACCGGTGATTGTTGGTGTAGTGCTATCCTTCTTAACCTATACCGTGGCAGGCGTACGATTTCATGCAACCATGAGAAGAAAAGGAAGCCTGCCAGGCACTGGAAAAGAAATTCAGGGGGTTCTCTAACATGAACCTCTGGAGTTAACATGTTTTCCGATTACCCGTACCCCCCAGGTGTCGATCAAGTAGAAAGCCAGTAGTAGGCGTGCTGATAAAAGCGACGGCGGAAGTAGAGAAAAGGAGATTGCCAAGGCTGGGATTCGAACGGATCACCCGTGGCCTCCCTGGCCTGATGTGTATTCACTCATTACAACACACTGGCTGGTTGTTACCGGTATGACGTGTCTCTTCATCGTCTGCTGCCCAGGGGTAGCAGTGGATGCACTTTGAGCGGTAAGTCAATTTCGAAGTGAGTGTTAGTGTTCATGATAGAAGTTCAAGGCGCGTATGAAGCTTTCTAGATTCGATGTCTTGGCGTTCATGATGAGAGGTTGATGTAGGAAGAGTTATGTTGTAGGGAGAGATCAGAGAGCGATGAAATATTTTGAACATGGCGTGAATTTCGTGGGCGGGGCGGGGGGCGGGACGCCGCGCTCTTTTATATAGACGATGGTGGGTCTGGACTGTGCAGTCCACCGTAGAGAAATAATAGGCTGTGAATTGTTGTGGGTTCCAGTGGGTTGTGGAACACCAACACGAATTAGTAACTGTCTGCCACAGCCGAGGATCACATTCACCATGTCTATCGCTCACAGAGGTGTGTGTAGCTGCTTTAAGGTAGTATGTTTCCTATGATTCACAGCTACCAGGGATACACTATCTTCTCGGCATACTCGGTCGAGACACATATTCACATTAGTGACGGAGATCTATTGGGAAATACTTATGCTAATGACAGGCCTGACATGAATCTGAGAGCCTAATGTATCTAGCCTTGGGTCTATTTCAAATTATTCTTCTAAAACAAATCACTTCAGGTAATATAAATGCTCGTAGTGAAGTACTCCAATATATGAATGAAAGATGATTGCGAAATTCTAACAAGTACAGCACAGGTAGAAGATGTGTGTTCTATAAAGTGTATGATGTAGGTAGCAAACAGGGTATCCATGGTAATTCAAAACAACATGCCCAAACGATGCAACGCGTGACGGGACTTTGACATCACGATGATAAAAAACTGAGGCGATAGCAGACTAACGTTTTGCGTGATCCTCTTCAGCTTTGCGCTTCCTATTGAGGCTATCGTCGGCTTCGGAAAGCTTGGATTCCGAATCCAAGATTGGCTGCACTCCATGGTCCTCCTGTTCGTCTTCTGCCTCGACCTTCTCCCAGTCTTCATCGTCGTCTTCATTGACAGACTTGTGCTTCGGATTAATAGATGGTAGACTGTTCCGAACCTGGGTTTCCACATGCACGTGCTCGTCATCGTTCCACTGCAGGATGAGTTTGACGATTCTGGCCCCAGAGGGTCTCAGGCGGCGGTAGTAATTTTCAACAACGCCGTCCTCTAATTGGAAGCCACGCGCAAGGTACCATTTCAGACCGTCTTCATTGGCTTCGTGCACGTGTGCCGTGACAGTGCGAATGTTGTAATGTCTCACCAGGTCGGAGACTTGAGGTGGAGCTTCTAGATTCGAGGACGCAGAGGGAAGCGAGGAAGTATATAGTAGCGAGTTGAGCAGTGAGGCTGCAACTCCACACCCTCGATACGGAGAAAGAAGGTGAAGTGTCTGGATGTAGAGGTTGGTCGGTTCTTGCTGCTGGGAGTGGTGACGTGCCTGCAGAAATTCTGCGGCAGTGGAAGGCAGTCGCTCCAGCCGACAGCGAATCCCCCCGATGACTTTATCGGTACCAGTTGTTGGTGCCTTGAGATTGGTCGACGAAGAAGGTGCGGTCGATGCGGGCGCTGCGGCCACCGGGTGGTCATGGTAAATGGCCACGCGGGACAGCGACGCGATCACGGGGTCAGTGACCGTGGCTGTGTAAAATGAGTTCGGGTAGCGAATGGGCAGCAGCAACCCCGTGATCCGAGTCAGGGAGGGTATGTGAGCCGTACTCACGACTTCGACCGTGACGTGCGGGTGCGGAGTGGGGTGGCCTGATGCTATGCGCTGGGTGTACGCGGTCGGCTCGAAGGGCGTGTCTGTGGAAGAAGGGGCCTGCACTCTGGAGGGCAAGTTGAGTGAAAATGGATTCGATGAAGAGGACGAAGATAGACGGGCTGCTGGGTATACCGGCGGTCGAGCTTGCGCGGGTTTGGAGGAAGAAAATGTCGACACTGAAGCCTGAGGGGCAGACAAAGGTGGAGAGGTAGGCGCTTTGGATTGATGCGCCTTTGCGAAGAATTGGTATGCCATGTCTGGCAAGAAATGAGCTGCTACAAGCAGCACGAGTTAAAGAGTAAGGATCAACAGCTGTTTATAGCAGCATAGGGCTATATGATCGCTCAAAGAATAGACGAGAGAACGAGCAGAGACGTAGGAGGGGAAGGACGCCAGAAGAGGGGAAACGCGCGATTCAAAGCGGTGGACGAGGAAAACGCGGAGATGCGATAAGATAAGATCGGGCGGTCGGACCGGGCTGGATGAGGCAAAGGCCAGCGCCGAAAGAGCCTCTCTCTTCACGGCCCCCCCTCAAATCCAGGATTGCCCCCTGGTGTTGCGCCTGTCGCTTGTTCTTTGGTCTTTTCTTGGCCTGTTCTCCCCTTCGACTAGCTTCTTTGCTATATATATGATTATATTCTCAGGTATCCAGGTGAGTGGACACTCCATGTTGGGATGACGGGCGTAGCGCGCAGTCCGCTGATTCTCCCTACCGTGCGCAGGCAGTTTCCCACCTCCAGTTAATAAACGCCCGTCACCACTGAAAGTCAAATGGACAATACCTATCCTCCTTTTCACGTGTTACTCTTTTGAATCGACTGGTATCTCTATAGACCTACCCTCCTCTACGGCTTCGTCGGATTCGACCAACACACACTTGACTGTCTATTACGACATCATCCCAATCGATCCGCATCCGTCGCCGACCAAAGAACTCCGAATCAAACTTGCTTGGACAGTACATACAACCTACATGAAGCTATAACATCGAAGCTCTTGGGGCTCTATCTTGCACAAAGACGGACTTCGCCATACTGGCCGACCTTTAGGGAGAGCCAACCGCACAATTTGGAGTAGGATACGTTGGTATCAAGGTACGTTCGGACTGTGGCTTTCGCATGACGGTCACCCTTGACAGAGCGTTATGGGAACGTTCTTATTCTCACAAGCAATTTGCTTGCGAGAGAAGTTAGTATCGACCGGCGCACTTTTGACGGTCGCCGCTGCTATTGTTTTCGTGTTCTTCTTTCATGTAGCTCACTCTTTGAGGCTATGCTGTTTCTAACGATCGGCACTTCAGAACACACAAATTACAACGATGGGCGAGTCAAGCGGGGCTGAGGAACGGGGATCCTCTTTCCCTCCAGGGACGATAGCGAAACTAGTAAGCACCGCAAGCATAATGAATCACGCTTTATTCGCGCAGATCTATTGTCCACTAGTTGCGCCCCATTCTACACAGTGCTAATACAGTGCAGACCTGCGAAATCCTTAATGACACATTCTACAACATCATCCATGACATAGTCGCCAAAGTACACCGCGATGAGAAGGTTTCCCGCATGCGTTCCGCGGTCGTTGCTGCGCGACAGAAGGCAGATGAGGAGGCGACCAGGCGTCGCGAAGAAAGCGGAAAACCGGCCAGCGCGTTCAAGCCTGGCGATCTCGATTTCGAGGAACTCAAGGACATTCGCGTGGAAACCGACGGGGCCATCTTCGACGAGGGCAAGGTCTACTTGAAGGGCAACCCTCTACAAACCACCAAGGATATCATCTGTCCTGATTGCCGGCTGCCGCGCCTCTTGTACCCTGTGACAGGCGTCGGGGCTCGTGCCCCTCCCGACCCGTACCGCGAGTACTGCCAGAAGCAGCCGACGATCAGCAAACCTGGCCACGACGTCAACGGGAACCCATTCGTGACGGACAAGGTAAAACCTCAGAAGAAGAAGCAAGTCACCACCTCAAATACCCCCGGATCGAGCCCACCCACCACCCCCGACGGCTCCTTCAAGCAGGCTGTACCGGAAAGAATATCGTTCCCAACGGTGAAGTGTCCGAACTGCCCAAGATACTTTGTCGTGACCCGCGTGGCGCAGCATCTGGACCGCTGCTTGGGCATCTCCGGCCGACCACTGGGTGGCCGCAACAAGACCCCCTTGGAGAACAATAGCAACGGCAGCAGCACGCCCGCCTCCGCTCCGCCCAAACGCCCCCTGATCGACGACGATGGCCCGCCGACCATGAACAAGAAGAAGAAACTCGGTGCTCCCAAGAAGCTGGCGGGGAAGAAGCCCACCCCTCCCAGCAGCAAGCTCAAGAACGGATTAACACCGGACATGGCCGCTGCAGATGATGCATTTGGTGAGCCCGATATTAAAAGCGAAGCCAACGGGGACAATTCCTGACAGGAACTCGGGGTTTCACCTTTCTTTTGCTCTATGTCTTATAATCCCAATCCCTGTTGTTCATTTAACCACCCCCACCCCCTCGATTTCTCCACCACTTTCACCACACATACCTCCCTTATACTCTTTACTTTGCCTTTGCCCCCACCCCCCAACCCCTCATACCTGGTAAAATTCCTTTCTGCATCGCAAAAAGAAACCTCGAGACATTTGGACATAACAGTCTCCATTTGCCATAACGAAACCAACTCATCACTATTCTTTTTGACGTAAATACCCGGCATTGTGAAAGGCGTCAATAGGCGGGAAAGAAACCTACTACTTCAGGACCATCGAGTTCACTCGCCCAAGAAGAAAAGGAAAAAGTCTCTGGGACATGGTCGGCGCTGCCCTTATTCTTCTTTGCTGGATTCTCTCTCTTTACTTATTCTTCATTTTTTCTTTGTTTGTTTTGTTCTTTTCCGTCCGGGTCACCTTCTGAAATGTTATTGGGTGTTTGTTTTCCCTCATTCTTGTCGGACTTTGTGGATAGATGATCTTGCTCATTGCAACAACTTTGTATTGTACAATAAATGTCTTGGTGCGCCGGATTTTGGAGGAATCCCATGCTCCCGCGGTTGAGAATTGGGAATATACATCTTTGTCCTGCTTGTGGTTCTCTTATTTTCTCCGGCAATGCTGTATGTTTATGTACAGAGTTGAACCAATCTCAAACCAAGCAAGGGACCATCCACAACCTGACCATCATAGAAGCATCATGCGTCAATGTATCATTATCATAGGGCGGCATCTGCCCTAGCCCTACGCTTCTCTTCCTCCTGTAGACCGTCCCCCTCGTTGCGCATCAATGCATCACCACCGCCACATGATCGTTCATATACCGCCGCACATCCCCCAGGAAGCACGCCGCCAGGATCGCCACCCCGCCGAACCCGATGCTGGCATAGTACACCCACTTGTAGCTCTCTGCGAACGCTATCTGACCGGCCGTCACGACCGCCTCGTACGCCGCGGGGTTGCCGGCGATGCCGGGGATCGCGTCGAGCTCCTCGAGGAGCGACGCGCCCGTCAGCTGGATCGCTTCGGCGATGTACTGTGGGTTGGTGATGTTGAGCTGCGTCATCATGACGCCGCCGATGTAGTGCTCGGCGTTGGGCACGAACTTGGAGATGAAAATGTTGTAGTAGATCGTGTAGCCGATGCCGCCGCCGACGACGCGGATGGAGAGGGTGAGGGCGGAGATGGTGGCGATTAGGTCCTATGGAGGGAGGAGCGAGGTGTCAGTTGGGTTTAATCTGGGTTGTTGAAGGGGAATTTGGAGTGATCTGAAGGCGAGGCTATTCACAGGGCTGGCTGCGCGGTGGCATGATGCTGGGGTGGAAGAAGGGGGGATTGAGGGTTGGAGGAAGGGTGGGCAGAACGAGGGTTAGTTATGGCAATCTTACATCTGGACAGATGATGGTTGTCATGATGGATGCTGGAACGACGATGCCGCCGATTCCTAGGCCTGCAAGGACAAGAATACCCCATAATTGGTAGAGGTTGTCGACTCGGCCAATGGATAGGGCGCCGCAGCCTGATGGAGATTAGCGTTTATACAAAATTGCATTTTGGTTTTGTAGTCTAAGACTGACCTGCTGTCATAAGAACGCTGCTCAGGATCAGAAGCTCCTTGTTATGACCACGAAGCACACTCAGCAGCCATAGCACAATGCATGCACCGATCAGGATGGCAAAGCCGATGGGGATACTGCGAACACCCACGTCAACAGGATCGTGGCCGTAGACGTTGAACGACTGCGTAGGCCAGAACATGAGGACGGAGAAGAAGTTCGCTCCGGAAATGAAGGTGATGACTAGCGTCAAACCCAAGGTCCAGGGTTCTTGCTTCAAGCGACTTGGGAAGATGGGATATTTCGCGCCGTAGACTTCCCAGACTGCGAAGAGGACGAGGAGTATGAAACCGAGGATGAGCGGGACGAGGACATGAGCGGTTTTCCAGCTGTACTGTGAACGTAGAGACTGAGGTTAGAAAGACAGTGCGAAGGAATATCTCATGCTACGCTTACCATGTAACCACCCCATTGTAAGCCAGCCAAGAAGACGATGAGACCGGATATGCTGAGGAATCCGCCGACAAAGTCAATACGACAGATGACTTCTGCCTTGCTCAATCCCTCGGAGTTTACTCGAGGTGGTGGGAAGTAAAAGAGCGCTGTGGCCAGCAATCCGAATCCATTCCACGCTCCGCAGAATGCGCCGACGTATCTCCAGCTGCTGTGTGCTGCAATGAGCTGGGCCCAGAGCACCGAGGGACAGAATGGTAAGATGGTGAAGATCAATACCGCCACATATTTGCCCCTCTGTCGCGTTGGTGCCATTTCAGATGTCGCAGCCAGCGCAGTAAGTTCGTTGACACCTGCTCCTGCCCCTGCAATTGCCATGCCAGCTTCAAGTTGTTAGATATATTCCACAGTCTGAAGAGTGGCAACTCTCTGGTGAACGTACCAATAAATGTATTCATCGTGTTGGCTGTACTGCTCACGATCATACCAAGGCAGATGAGCGAGGCTCCAATGATGGCAACATATCGACGACCGATCAAATCCGACAGCGATCCGACGAAAGGACAGACGCCAGCGAGAGCAAGAAGATTTGCCAGGACCTATATGAATCTAGTCGGTAATGAACAATGCCTCAGAGATCGTGGTGTAGTCTTACAAACCAGACCCATCTATCTGCCCCACCGATCTCTTGATAAATATAAGGTGGGATACCCCCTAACCAAATGTTAGACCACTGACATCGCGTTGGATAGACATCAGCGCAGCCGTACCGAATAAGTAGACTGGAATCTGACTTCCAGTCCATAGGAACGCCATTGCGGTGAAACCCATGAATCGACGAAAGGTCATCTAAAAGTCGTCCAAGATCAGCAAGTTCTTGATCCAGCCAGTATTTGCTTCCTTTAGTTGAGAATTATACGCACTGGCACCTTCACTTCGCCTTCGATGTCCTCCTCGTTGGAGTCTCGTCCAGCCACCTCCCGGTGGCTAAAATCACTCGCTGCATTGTCATTGAAAGATGAATGTGCTGCTGTCTTTTCGTCGACGCCAGCTTGGCTGCGCTGGCCTGCGACGTCCATAGCGCTTAATGTAGATGGAAAGAGACTGGGGAGAACGGTTGACAATAACTAGGTCCAATACCGCGCGGCCAGTGGCGGAAATGCGTTACCGATGAGAATCTGGTCGGACAAAGCAAGGTGAACTCAATTTATATAAGTTATGGCTGCCCACATTGATCAACAGCCAGCACCGGGTCTCGACCCTTCAGATACCCGGTGGGTGTAGATAGCGGAAGTAGCAGCCGTCATGACTCCCTCGCACATCCTTTGGAGGGGAGATTGACAGGCGGAGATGCTACCCCTTTGGGTGACAACCGAGGAAGTTGACAAGTTTTGTAGTGGAGTTACACGGCCTGTACCAGTCCGGAGTGACCGCTTGGTTCCAATGAAAATGTTAGTCTCCTTCCTCCTCCAGAAAAAATGCGGGGGGGCGAAATCGCGGGGAACGGGCCCTGCGGAGAAATCAATGCCACTTCAAAGAAAGCTTGAGAGGCCCACATGGTACAAGCTTCTTTGGCAGTGCTACAGTACAGATTCTGCGATAAATGATAAATGAGAAGACAAGCATGGTACTGTACAACATGGAACACACCAATGACTTCTTAGACCAGACCTATCTGTCTGTCTCCAGGCTGTCGCGTATACAGCCCCGAAATGGATATTAAGCCGAGGCACCTCATCGTCAGATGAAATAATTATGGACAAGAAGCGAACAGACGAAACTCTAATTCTACCCGGTACGGACGAATCCCGTGACACACTCGCGAGGCTCATTCATGCCACTGTGCTAGAAGCGCTCCCCATCTTCACGGAGCTTGTAGTTCTTGGGGACGACGAACAATGCGCTGGCCTCGACGCACAATTTCCCAACCATATCACGAACTTCGCCTCGGACAAAGGCTTTGCGCTCCGTACTTCTCTCCTGATCCAGAGTGGCATGGAATGTGTAGAAGTTGTTCGAAAAGACCGGTGCCCGGTATTGGAGCTCGAGATTGGCCGTGACTCCGGTGCGTTGGGGGAGATTTCGGATTGCGACACGGCCTAGATGCTCATCAATGATCGTACCGAGCGCTCCTCCGTGGACCATGGTCGGCCACCCTTCCAGACCCTGTCCAAGGTATGCGACATTGATGGCCGTTTTTTCCTTGTCATTGTAAAAGACCCTCTGTACTCAGCCGTCAGTCAAAAAAGATGGTCGAACCAGGCCAAGCTCCACGCCAGGGAATGCATTGAGGTTTCACTGCGTCCGGTCTGGATCGTTGCATCATCCCGGCCCGGGGGTCGGACAAGCAACGTACCTGAAGTCCTATTCCTCTACTCCCTCGCAGCGGACCGGAGGTGAGCCTTTGCGTTTTCTCGTCCTCGGAGAAATTGCCGTAGACATCGGCCTCCACGTAGTCGGGGTTCGCTCGCAACCTCTGCACGATCGGCAGCCAGTGTTCGAATTTCGAATTGATCGCCTCGAGTCGTCCCTGATCCTCGAGCGTACCTGGTAGAGCGGGCGCGGAGACATTCTCATCCATCCAGCTGCCTATGAAGGCTGCGCCACAGGTGCCGAAGATTGCCATGTAGAGCAATCGTCGCGGCCATCGCGACGATCGGAGGGACGATGGCTGGGCGGCAGTATTCAGAGCCCTTGTGTTTGCACGCGCATAGCGTGCAACTGATTGTGATACGGTCGCAGGATGAGGCGCCTGCAATAGGCAGACTCTATGTAGACGGAACATACTGCTCAGCATCGGAGTTGCGATGAAGTGCATTGCTGGGAAGCTCGTCTCCAATGCGGAGGATCGGTGATTAGATAAGAGAAGCGCCGGTATCCGTCACGTGATCTAATTTACAACTACATGCGCCTACAGAAATATCGCACATGGCTTGGTGTACGCTCTATTTGGTTACAAGTCGAGTTGATTTAGCAAGGGTACGAAAAGGCGAAGAATCCTTGGCAACATTATAGTCGGTGGCAGTACCATAACCTGGATAAGGATATTTATAGAGAAGTAATGTATTCTGCTCTGGTGAGCAGCCAAGCTAAGTATCAATTCAGTTCGTCATCTATGAAGGTGTAGTTATCGCATCAATCATTATATCCTGCTGCGGCGAGACTGCTCAGTCCTCACGAGGCATTTCCACTGCACGGTACAGGAGGATCAAAGCAGAGTGAGATTCACCTGGTGGGCCATGTTAGAGACTAATGTCAGACACTTTGAAAGGAAGGACTTACCACCACCAGCGAGAGTCTCGATCTTCTCTCCATCCACTTCGGTTACCTTCTCGTCATTGAACCACCACCACTTGCCTTCAGCGCTGCCAGAATTGTCCTTGTCCTGCTTCTTCACATAAGCTGTATAGTGACCACTATCAGCGCTGGCACCCTGGTGGGTGATCACACCACGAAGCTCGTAAAGACCAGTTGTGTTGGCTCCAGCATCAGCCGCAAGCTTCTGATCGATCAATGCGGATAATTCCTTCTTGGCAGCAAGGATCGATGCGGTTTTCTCGGCCTCGTATTCGGCGTCGGTCTTGAATACGTCGGTCATGGCTTCATCCTTATCTTCCTTGCGCTCTTCGGCTGCTTTCTTCTTCTGCATGGGCTCCATGCTGGAGGATTCGCCTTCTTCCTTCCTGTCCTCTTCTTGGCGATGAGCAAGCTTCTGGCGCTTGCGAGCCCGTTCAACATCCACCTCCTCCTTGCGGATCTCTCGAACCTTGTCCCTGACAGGAATAAGCTGTTTTTTCAGCTCCTCGGTACAAAAGTCAACCACGTCAAGCTCGTGGGGAAATGTAACTTTCCGCATGATCTTGGCCTTCTTCTGGGTTTCGCGCTTCCAGAAGAATCGGACAAAATGCACGGTGAGATACTTGGGCAAGCGCGCTATGCGAGAGCGCTTTGTGTAGACGGCATCGCGGTCCAGAGTTGGGGAGTGCTTCTCGATCTTTTCCTCGAGACCGGCCATGATTCCGTCGCTCAGGTGATTTGTTTCCTTGCCAATATGGCAGTCGAGCTTGTAAAACACATCCGTACTCTCAGTGGGCTTCTCGCCAACCTCCTTGGCTGCGGAGTCGTCGCATTCCGTCACCGACTCAAATCGTCCAGCAAGATACTTATCCACAAACGACACCTCCGTCGCAGACTCCCCTTCACCTTCTTTGATAACCAGCTTGTTCCTGAGCTGTGTCACGATCTGTGACCAAGCCTCTTCAGCATCTTGTTGAGCATATCCATGTCCATTCCGGTCTCTTTGAGCAAACTGCGGGTAGGCATTTCTCAGTGCATTAAGGAACATAAGTGGCGGGAAGCCTTCCTGCGTCTCAGACATCTGCTTGAACAAATCCCGAAGAGAAGCAGTAAGATCGGTCGAAGCACCCAGACCTCCTAGACCGAGGCTACTAAGTCCTGCAAGACTGGAGCCCCCGCTAAAGCCCGCAGCGGGTCGATACCTTAGCAATTCCTCCTGAAGCTCGGGAACGCCCCTCAGAGCCTGAAGAGTGGAGTTGAGGTAGCAAGTATTGCCAAGGTTCTGTAGACCAGCAGGAGTTGCACCCTCGGCCTTGGCAGCCTCTGCTTCCGTCATGTCTTCCAAGAACTTCAACACTTCCTTTGGTCGGCCCAAGTCGGCAACGCCCTGGTTACCAGATGGTGTGCCCATCATCATGAACGTTTGCCCTGGTTTGGCGTTGAGAGAAGACAATGGAGTCTCATCCTTCAGTTGACCACCCTTAACCAATATCTTCTGTCGCTCGGGTTCGACGCCGGTAAGGGAGAAGAGCTGGTACTTCAGTGTTTCACCGTTCAGGGAAGGATCGAGCTCGACCTCGTGGCGTTTGCCCTGGTGTTTAATAATCACTGTCATGGCGTTAGTAGCGGAATGAGGAACTCGAAGTTGGAGTGTAATCTCTCAGAAGTCATCACGCACCTGGTATGGAAGCCATCTTAGCTTGCTTCAATGTAATTCGAGATGCAACAATCGATGAGTTCTAAGCTCTGGCGGCAATGATGAGGCAATGGGTGATGACTGCGTCAGTTAACTCCGCGGCGGCGGTGGGGCAGGCGGTGAGGCAATGGACAGCAGGCTGCATCACCGCCCTGCGGGGACCGCCCCTCCTGAGTGCTGAGTAGGTAGCATCATCACCTGCCTCCTTTAGCGAAGCGACAACAACAGGCGGAATTATTCTTCTGCTAAGCATCAACCTCTACATCTCTCACCATATGAACGCTCACAATCTGTGAGGCTATTTTATTTTGATTCAGACACCAGAGTTTTAGCATTGGAACTACGTCACAATGGTGAGCGCTACATCCCGAGCACTACAACCAGAGCAGTGGGCTGTGTCTAGTTTAGGATGCTCATACACGCTACAATAGAGCACAAGTCTCCGGCCGTATCTTCAATGTGTTCGCTCGTCACTTTCGGCGGCGCTCGCTATCTCCAATTTCGCCAGCCAGACTTCGGAAAGGCACAATGTGCCGGAGATCGAAGCAGCAAGCTCTCCTGAGCTTCTGCTCAACCCATTGGTCATTTCGCGGAACTCCGTACGTGCTCTCGGTCTAGATTGATGTTGATACTGTACTTATCTAATGCGATCTTCGTTGTTGAATAGGACGAACGCACCTTCATCGAACCCTCGGTCAACTCTGTCCGCGTGTCCCTCAAGGTCAAACAGGCCGATGAAATCGAACATATCTTAGTGCATAAATTTGCGAGGTTCTTAACGCAGCGTGCGGATGCTTTCCTGATTCTCCGGAGGAAGCCGGTGGAGGGCTATGATATATCGTTCCTTATCACGAACTTCCACACCGAGGCTATGCTGAAACATAAGATTGTGGATTTCGTGATCGAGTTTATGGAAGAGGTGGACAAGGAAATCTCGGAGATGAAGCTTTTCGTAAGATTCAAACTCCTTATCGAGAGACAACCTCATGCTAATGGTCTGTAGCTGAACGCCCGTGCCCGTTTCGTGGCTGAGTCGTTCTTGACACCGGTAAGCATCTAGGCTAAGCACTACGATGGAAGACCGCTAACATGGCGTCACAGTTCGACTAAATGTATGCTTTAATGCCACTTTTCTTGTTCTAAATGAATCAGGTTTCCTTTCCCAGGAGCAATCATTGTACAGGCGATCTGGGCTGGTGCTAGGAAACCGCTGTGTTTCTTATATGCTTGTTCCTTTACAAATTTCCAGTTGTCATTCCACCCCTGAATCGTGTCCATTTTTCGCATAGACAGCTCTTTCCAAGAATATCCAGTATAGTTCTTCTGACAAGTGTAGATGTGGAGTACCAGAAACGCGCCGCACGGGCATTTATGTCGCTGACATGGTGGAAATCTCTAGGTGCGCCTCTATCGGCTGCTTGCTCACTTAGCTGAAACGCTATGGTGCTTTTCTGGCTGCTTTCATGACTGACTGATGCCTAATAGGCCGGTAGGTCGAGTGAATGTCTCCAAACATGACCAGACGACTCCACCGATGCTACCTCATTTCAGACTCGCTCTGGCGTACTAGTGAATGATCCTGCCGCTATAAATGGCATTGTATAGCTTACAGTTCTATGTGACTTGAGGCTTAGAACCTTTCATTTGTAGGTCCTACACTAAGTGATACCCTATCGAGCCGTTAAGCTATGTTCCCCTTCACATGAAACTCTGAATAGCCTCATTATTTAACTGTTACATTACTCACCTTCCTGACTTCAAATGATGACCTACGCCTCATATCTGCCGCAATAAGGTACGGAGTACCCTTGGGTTATGGTTCATTTCAGTAAAACCCTTCTTACAGTCCGGTAACACGCTGTGGTCATTGCTGCGCTTCAGCACCTGAGGTGAATAGATGAAACGCGGCTGCGCAAGCTGTATATTGTCGCTCTTCAGGCTACTCAACCAGGATCCAGGCTGAATTTATTTCTTCACATCTCACCATAACTTGTCTTCTTCTTTATCTTTACACATCTCACCTCCGACTACTTGTCAAGATGGCGCAGTCTGGTCATACCAACCCCCCTGCTACTCCAAAACATCATTACAATGACCATATGGCGTCGCCCAGAGAGCTCTTCTCCCCTGCTGCAAGTCACAGGCGACTTTCAAGTGGCCTCACTGGGGAGTTGGCACTCGACTCTCGGGCTGCCTGTGGAGATTTGCTGACTGCGAAGATGGGGAGTTTGTCTCTGACACCATATTCTTCAAACTCACCCACCCCAGTTCCCCTGGGTCACTCACGTTGCCAATATGGAGTGGCTGGTTCACCTCTGACCCATCGTCGGAACTCCTCTGTGGTCGTCGGGAACCATCTACACGAGGCTCAGAATATTCTCAAGGCCGTTGCGAAAGGTGGCTTGCCTGACGAGATGCCGATCGGCAGTCTTACCCTCCTGCAACAGCCACCAGTCGCGGGCGTTATGAAGATCTCCAATGTAAGTGGCCATTCATGCCTTCAGAAGCACACATCTAAAGCCGGAACAGATTCCCTATTCTATCACCAAGCAAGAGATACTACAATTCGTGGGACGCCAGTCTCGCTTGAGCTCGGGTCAAGCCGTCCACATCATAATGGAGCGTTCAACTGCAAAGACAATGGATTGTTATGTTGAATTTGCGACACCAGGAGATGCTAAAGAGATCGTGAAGAGAATTGATCGTATCCAGGAAACAGGCCGTCCGCCTCGCTTGGGGAACAGACACGTTGACGTCGAAGTTAGTTCTCAGGATGCCCTGCTACGCGATCTCTTTCCTCGTGCAAAGTGTGTCCACTGGCAGGCAGGTATGCCCACTGTTCTCCGTAACAATGATCTCTATTCCACAGGCTTTGCCGGCTTCTTCACCAGTGAGGAGATTATCGGTGCTATTCGTCATGCGGAGATGCCTCACAGAGTAAGCAATCCCCGGAACCATCTTCATTGATTGCGAAGCCTGATCATCGCTAGTCTCCTTTCAGTACTAAATGCCCTCAGCGTACCTATGAGTCCACCATCAGTACCCTCTACAAGGTAAGTGAGACTGAGCAGATTCATGCAAAGTAGATTTGCTAACAAAATTTCAGTTCCCCTGGTATGCCGTTGACCTTTACACGGTCCATGATCGTAACTTGCTCTTTGACTTGGTTAATCGCCAGGTTATGGCTCTTCTTACTCGCATGAGTAGAGCGAATACAGTGGGTCTGGATCAGCGTCTCTTGAATGACCTTCTTCGTTCCGGACTCGAATGTCCAGGCTTCAACGAGCGCCAGAGATATACCTTGTGTGTCAACGCAGAGAACTTCGCTGAATTGAATAAACTATCGGACATCAGTAAATGGTTTCCCTTTGACACCTTGGCTACTATGCCTAACCTCGACGAGCACACTTACAAGGTATGTGTATCGGGAGCCTGCTCTTATAGACCTCTTACTCCCTTCAATGTCACGGCATAGTGTGGCAGCCTACGTTCTAACTCTATATTTAGTTTATTGTCGACTTAATCTCCAAGGGCTCGATCCACGCCATGTCTTACCCAGAACTTCCAAACAACTTCCCCTCGGATAATGTCAGCCTCATCTCGCCCTTTGGCCCGATCTGGTTCGAATGGCCCGAGGAAGTTGCTAAGCGCACGCTCTGGCAGGACGCGGTCAGTCATGAGACCAACATCTTGTTTGATCTTCTATCTAGCGGATCCAGAAACCCCCATGGCAGAAAGCTATCTTTCGGGAGTCACAGCACTCGGAGCAGCGTCATGTCACCAGACACAGACAGTCTGTCCCAGTACGATGTGTTCTCGCCTCCTCCACGTCGGGCAAGTGACTCATGGCACATGCGCGCTTACTCTTACAGCGGCATTGAGGACAACCCTTGGAATTCCAGGCTACTTCTTCATTCAGATGGCAGAGGCCGTAATGGTTTCCCAGGACACCGCTTCACCAGATCTTCTCCAGTCAATGTCCCGGTCTTCGATGAATGATATCCGAGCAATTCAACACCGAAGTTCAAGAAGTACAGCGCTCCTAATCCTTCAACTGCAATACTTTTGACTTTCTTGCGTGCCCAACAATTGACTTTGCTCTACTGCACAGGTTGGATCTAGATTTGCATATGGTGCGTGGTGCCTATTGGTCCATCCATAATCTAGGTCGACATATTTGTCTTTTTACTTACGAGATTCCCCCTATTTCTTTCGTTATTTTTCAGCATCTCTCTACTTTGCTTGTATTTGCGACTTGATCACTGGTTGAATTCCCCCTGCACGAATTTCAGAACGTCATTTCATCAAGTGCTATCGGTTCAAGAGCACATGCTACACGGGTACACTGCCTTTAAGCTATGAATGTATCGTTCTTCTTGTTTTCTTCTTGTTTTTTTATTCTCTTGAGCCTGGCAAAGCCTTAATATCTCATGATTTTTCATGTTCTTGCTTCTATTATGCTGTCAATCTCGAATATCGCCAAGGTTAGTCTCCAATGAATAAATCGACATTGCCAATCGCACCACCATCTCCTTCCTCTGTTCGGCTCGTCTGTTCGAGTTGCTGCTGTTGCTGCTTCTTTCGTAGTCCTTCCGCCCTCATCCTCTCCCTGCGTGCAGCAGGATCCTCCCAGCCCACGGGCCTCGCTTTCCCCTTCGCCTTCGCGCCTGGAGCATGATCCGCGGAACACATCTCCACCAGACTTGACCGGAAGCGTTCCTTGCGTTCCGAATTGACGACGAACCGTTCGTTCGAGATGGCGATCAACATTTCCAGGTACTCCTCCGTGACCAAACTGCGAATGACGGGCTCGGACTCCTCCTCGTCGTCGTCGTCCTGCTTCTCTTCGCAGTACCCGATGACTGACTCCAGAGCCATGCCGGCGGAGCGGACAGCGACGATGGGACTGGGGCCGTCCGCGTCGTCCGCATCTAGACAGCGAAGACTCTGGAGTCCGCTTTCGCGGAACCCGGAGCTGGAGGCGGCGGAGAGGACGGGGTTGGCGTGGTGGAGGGTCGCTGCCATTATATGGAGAATCTAGGTAAGGTTAGAGACCTTGACTGTGATCATTGACCGCATGCTGTAGATGATTGAGGAGAAAAGTAATTCGAATGAAAGATGTATACAAAGTCGCCAGGGAAGGGTAGGTGGATAGCAACGAAAAGGAAGGAACGAAATAGCACTGAAGGGCATTTACCATCGGCTCATAGGAGAAGCGCACGAGACGCGGGGCCTGACCGGATCCGTCCAGCTTGGGCGGTTTCCCATCTCCAGGAATCATCCCGAATAAGCGGTGCAGCGGTCTCTTGTTGTTCTCCTCTTCCTCATCTTCTTCTTCACCTTGCTTTTCTCCATACTCCTTCAACGCGTCATGAGACACATACAGCCATTTCCCAGCTCCTTTGCCCCCTGAAGGTACGAATTGTCTCTGCTGCACTTCTGACGACTGTTGCTGATGCTGTTTCTTTCTCCCCTCTAGGAAAACACTGAACCGCCCTGCACAGCTGCTAGTGGTTACTAGTCCGGGCAAGGTATTGATATCATCGATCAGCTCACGGATGCCTTCATCCACCGACCCCTTGGGTGAGAGATCAGTATACTCTGCGTCAGGAATGGATAATTCGGCAAGGATTTTGCGCTTTCGACGCTCAAAAGCCTCGGGAGTTGGGCGGGATTCGGGACCAGTCATGATGGGCCTCTGTCTGCGCTTGCTTTCCTCGCTTGTTCACTATGGTATTGGACCCAACAATTCTTCTTGATTACCCCAGAACCGTCAGAAACCGGCTATCTAAGGCGGGGCAGCTCTGGTGGTCCTTCTTCTCTTTTCCTTCCTCCTCCTGATCCGACTAAACAAGAGATATCCGCAGTCCGCTGACAAGAAACGATCAATAGATTACCTATCTACTGCAAAACCCACGGCCGAAAATCGGTGACAAAAAAAAACCTGTGCGATTGTGAGATAACTCTGAATGTCACACTAAGTTGCGCCTGCCAATCCTTCTCGAACGAGGGAAGGGAAAGAAAAAAAGACGGACTGACGTCGACTTGCCGAGCGGCGGCGGCAACGCTAAGGATAGTTTAGCGGAGCGGGAAGCAAATGAGACGAACTCGCCGCCTTTTCCCACGCGAAAATTGGCCCCAGAAGTTACCAGCCTCCTGGTCTCATTATTCCTGGTCCCTTGTTGTCCGCTCGAACCGCTGGAAAGTCAATTTGTCGCTAACGACGGAGGGCCTCCGACGCTCCGTACCGGCGTATCCCTACCCCCCTTCCCGGGCCCCCCCCTCCCCCCCATAAGCCCTAGTCCGTCCTAAAGAAGACGATCCATCGGGCTGTCAATTCTTTCTAGCGTCATCATCGGATTTTCCTCCTCCGCGGAATTTGCCATCTCAGTTGCAACTCCCCTTCACACCCACGTAGTAACTTATAGTTTCCAGAGACGACGGACCGCACCATAAGCATTATCTCCGTCTTCTTGCGACAATCAACTTCCAGAACTCTGGTCCTTAGCCATGCCTCGTCGATCGTCTCGGCCCGTTCCCGCGGCAGCCGCAGCTCCAGAAGCCGCGCCAAAAAGGCGCGTGTCCGCCAGACTCTCCGAAGCATCCAGAACGGAGCCCAAGAGACAAAAGTTCGATACCGAGCCTGCTCAGAAGCTGGTCAAATCCACCACGAAAAAGAGCAAATATTTCCAAGAGGAGCCGTCTGAAGATCCGGAGCTTGACTCCAAAGAGGCAGCTGCGCCGAAAATCCTCGACTACGAGGACACCGACACAAGCGTCCCCACATCTTCCGACTCCGGCTCAGACTTCGCTGAAGAAGCATCGCCATCAGCCCCGAGCGATGAGGAGCTTGAGTCTGAAGAAGAGGAGTATAGCCCTGCGCCTAAACGCCGCCAGAGCCGCGGAAAGCAATCTAGCACCGCTGGCTCGAGAATACATGGGCCAAATAGTGCGGAAGAAGACACGACTGTGACATTGGCCGGCAAAGAGCTATGGAGAGAAGGGGTAAAAACCGGCCTTGGGCCAGGAAAAGAAGTGTTCATCAAGAAGCCCAAGGCCAGAGACCCTGGCGCTGTAGCTTACAAAGATAATGTTCTGCATCCCAACACTATTCTCTTTCTCCAAGACTTGGCAAAGAACAATGACAGGCAATGGCTGAAAGGTACTTCTGACCGAGCTTCAAACGTCTGTATCCGAGAGCCAAGCTAACGGATGACCCGGTCACAGCACATGACGCGGACTACCGCGCTGCCAAAAAGGACTGGGAAACCTTTGTCGAGACTCTCACAGAGCAGATCATAGATCAGGACGGCACAATCCCCGAATTGCCTGTCAAGGATCTTGTAAGTGAAGAGCCCTCAATGTCAGATAAAGCAGGAAGAACTCGAAGAAGTTAACGTGGATTTGTCTTAACGCAGGTCTTTCGCATACACAGAGACATCAGGTTCAGCAAAAACCCTCTTCCGTACAAGGTAGGCTCATGTGTCTACTATCTTTACTGCCTCCCGGCTGGAGGATTCGATGCATCGTTGAGCTAATTGTGAATGTTAAACAGACGCACTTTTCAGCAGCTTGGTATGTGCCTAGCCAACACCCGGCGAACATCAGCATAAGCTAACTCTTGTCAGGTCCCGCACCGGCAAGAAGGGCCCTTACGCTGCATACTACGTCCACTGCCAACCAGGGGCAAGTTTCGTCGGTGAGTTATGCAAGTTGAAGTACCCACTTTCACACGGTCGCATGCCAGCCAGATTCAACGTGTCTCCATCGAGCCTGTCCTCACCGCAACTGGGAAACTTTCGCCTTCTTCAAGACATCCATTGTTCCTTGCACACTCCCCGTCCCGATCTTTCCTTATCTCACGTTGTGGCTGAAGCTCGTGTTATGCGCCCGGATGCGGTCGAGTCTGGCAGGTTCAATAGGTCTTTCGCAAGCGATGGCACACGCGAGGTCATTATACTTTGTCAGGATAGCCGAGCTAACAAGAGGTATGGGTTCTAGGTTCGGGCCTTTGGGCGCCAGAGGCCGATGGACTGGCTCGTCTTCGACAGGATATCGATCGCCGTTCTCATCGCCTCAAGAAAATTCTGAGAGCGCCAAAAATGCGTCAAGAAATATTCAAGGGCATCCCGGATGATGATGAGAAAGCTGTAGAAGCCTTTGTTAGCCACAACAAGGAGAGCGCTCTCAAGACCAAGCCCAAGGTAAGCGTCATTCCCTTGCAAGAGACTCTTTTTGCTACAACCTCAGAGCACTTGCCTTTTGCTCCCATGTCTATTGGTCTTTGTGTACCAGATGGATCTCTTTCTGCCTTTCCAACACAGGCCAATGCCCCTATTGTTATGTCTGCTTGTTATGATCGAACCTGGGATTGGTGTTGGGCGACAATGCCATCAGTTCCATCGCTGAAAACAGAGCTCCCTATCGAAGCGATAAGAAGCACGATATCGAAAACCTGTTGATGTCGCGTCAAGACGAAATATGGTCTCTTGTTGATGGTTCAGGTGAAAGAGTCATGTTGTGATGTCGTGCGTCATCCATCTCTGGGTCACAAAAGCGATGTCCTGCCGCGCCAGTCGCTCGAGAAATCATCACATATCGTCTTCCAGCTGATACAATCAAGCGAAAATTTGTTTGACGATGAACAAAGGCACTGACAGCCTCGTGCTTGATGGCAGTGAGACTGACTGGTCCGTTGTGACGGGTGTGTAAGCGCAGCCGCGGACGAGCGACCCGGACCAGGCGTGTCTCTCTGCCTGAGGCGCTGATCGGGGGACATAGCTCCCAAGTGCCGTTCTTGGTTCTGGCGCGGAAATGCCTGCTTGGGCGTCCCACTGGAGTACTTTGGCCTCGAAGAGATTTTTGCACCGGCTCATTTGTTTCCATGGTTCAGCATATGCCGCCGTCCCGGCGGGTCCCCGTTCTTATCCAATTACGATACTGATAAACAACTCTCCTTCTGTCTAGGGCTACGATGCCGATAATGAGAATATCCAGTTGCTCCGTCTGCGCAGTTTCACCATCGGCAGGCCTCTCTCGGATGAGGAGTTGCTAAGTCCGAATGCCCAGGACAGGATTGCAGCACTGGTTGAAATCATGGAGCCCTTCGTAAGCCACTCGAATCCCTTTCTCTCCGCTTGCCCGCATCTGCGTCCATTGGATCCTAGCACCCGTATCAACAATACACGGACGGTGTTTCCTCCTTGCCCCTTGTCCCCTCCTTGCCTTTCCCTTCTTAGCCTCCAGCGGTGTGGCTTCGGGCGCAAAATACTTACCATTACCCACCACCTAACAAAGTCGAGACCTTGCGAGGTGGCAAGGGCGTCGAGACACAACCATCGTTATTGTTCTCCTGTAGCTGACCATAAGGTAACTTCATCTGGCAGGTTACGTATCTCAACAGCGTCGTCATGCCTGATGCGATGGAGGAGGATATCGATACCGATTCAGAGGCTTCGGAAGACTGAAGCTCTAGACAACACCAAGCACGACTCGAACTCTTATCTTTCAGATCAGGTCTGTGGTTTCATGTTTTCTAGTATAATGATTCCTCGCTATATGTATCTCCTCGTCTCGCGCGTACTTTCTTCCGGTGTTTGAGGGCTAGTCGGTCAAGATTTTCACGTGTTTTTGAAAGTGTCGGGGCGCCCTGCATACTGTAATCCGCCTAGTGGGCATCGCTCACGTCCTGTATGTTTGCCACAACGGGCATTTTTGCCTGAGATTGGACTTGTCGAGCGTTAGCATGTCATGGCTCGACCTTCTCTTTGGTCGACACGCCTGTAAATTTGATACAAACCCTCTGTCATCTTGCGCTAAGGGCTCTCCTCTCCATACCTCTCTGTCTTGCGATTCTCTTACCGCCAGTTTGTCTCCCCCAATGATGGTAGCTCTCGTGTCTAGTCCTCGGCAGGCTGACAGGTTCTTGGGGGGTCCGGCCATCAGGATAGCATTGACGTGCATCTATTGCCTGCTTTTGCTGCTGTCCGCGCGCCTCAACCGGGCCGTCGGTCGTGCCGTTGGCTCCACGATGTCCACCATCGACCAGCAGACTCAGCAGCAGCGAAATATCCACATCTGCACGAGTGCGAATTCGTCTATGGCACAGATTGAATGACTACACTTGTTGTCATCTTCTCTTCTCTCAAGTGATCAGCATATGTCCGCACTCGGCGCACACTGCATCAGTGCCCAAATCACCACTGACGCGCATCTCCGAGTTTCCTTCTACTCCGTACGCAGTAAGACCTGGGTGGGGAGAAGGAAAGAAAGAGGGGTGGATGGTTATCTCCTCCTCCTTAGCCGCTCCCTGCACCGTCGTCTCCTCCCGGGCTATCGCTCTCTGTACTCCGTACTCCTTCCCAAACCCCCTCTCCCCCAGTTGCACCATGATGAGGGGAAGATGGGCCACAAGGGAAACTCGCAGAACTGAGTCGAAGCCACCCCTGTGCTGCAGACACAACTGAAAGAGGGGCAATGTTATCCACCGGCCCTGCAAGCCATGAACCTTGTGTATCTGTACCGTATTGATTTCTTCAATTCGTGTGATAGTCCCAGTGGGAATCAAGCCAGGGTGATGAGTATGCACCTGGGCAGAGAAGACGCAGACAACAATCTAAGACAGTGCTGAGGGGGCGGAAGAATCCGTTAACTCATAACTAGGTGTTGCCAATTACGTGCTGCCTGTTATCCAGCCTCCTCCCCTCCACTCCCCGTCGAACTGCCCTTTTTCGATCTCCGTGGTCGATCTCTTCGGGTGCCCCTCATATCGTGAAGGCAAAATCCATCCCATTCCATTCGTCCTGTGAGGATTTAACTTTGTCCTTTCTCCCTCTCTCCCTCTCGCTCCTGTGGGGATAATCGGGTCCCTTTTCTCTGTTTCCTTTACGATACAGCGTGTGATCAACGTCTGTGGGGGAACTTTTCCTTCTCGTTTGTTCAAATTCTCAGGTTTCGATACTGTACATACACAACTTATAGTTCAGTCATGTCTTGTTTGAAAGGAGTCCAAGAAAGACAGAGAAAGACAATTGGTTTGTGGAGCAGGATGCAATTGGATTGTCTTTTTTCTTTTTACTCTTGCCAAGTCTCCACAATGTAGAAACCTTAAAGGATTCGATTTGCCCCCTCATATCCTGTCTAGACTCAAACTGCCTCTACGACAAGGACAATTGGATGTACAGTACATGCCATTAAAGGCCTCGAAATGCATACTTTGACCCTCGCTCTTTCGGTGTGTATATTCGCGTGTTTGTCTATCTGCGACGCATGTATACATGAATGGCAAGTCACATATGGCGATCGCACGGGTCTAGAGATATATCGCGCACATAGCTACGGAGTACATCAAACTGCCATTGTTACTTAGGTGGATGTTTTGTAGGCCAGTTTGTCTACTAAATCTTAGTAGCTAGTCACTATGCTTCGTCCTACTCGTAGTGAACTTGATCTTGCCTAGCCAGAAGAAAGTCTGAGTACTGGACAGGGTTCGAGGTTTACTCACTTCCCTTCATTCCCCTTGCTTCTGCTTGACCGGTAGCATGACCTAAGAAGCCAGCCTATGAGTACAGGACCTATCTCCCCACTTGTGTATACTACAACAGCCCAGCCTCTAAGCATAAAGGGGGCAGGCACAAGATAGGTAGTTTCCCCGCTGTTTGATCCCTTTCCCCCCTCCTCCAGTGTTCTGTATGCATAGTATTGACGCATGTATCCATTCTCATGTATCTGGGTATGTCCCGCCATGCCTCATGCCATCGACTCTCGTACCGGCTTTCCCTGTCCCATCCTGTCCTGTCTGTCCCATCCCGTTCTATCCCAAAACAGGCGTGTCATATCACCCATCATATAGCCGGTATCATGTCATACCGCAGAGTGGGGACTTTTTTTTTCGGCACCGTCAAGTACAAAAACATGATATATCACATCGGCCGGGGACCCAACATGACAGGCTTATCCAATAGCTAGTGAATCACGGGCTTTTTTCGGCGGTAGAGCAAACCTAGACCATACTGTACAGTACCTACATTAGGTTAGTTACTAGGTAAGTTTACGCCTTGCTCAGGGCAGGCTTAGGGTTGGGATTAGGTATTGTATGCCCTCCCTGTACGGAGTACCAACCTGAGGTATTCTTTTTTTTTGGCACGAAGCCCCAGGCGTGTGGAGATCCAGGTACGGATGGATACAACAACGGGTCGGGTCTATCGTAGATCTTGCTTCGCGATCGATGACGTTCCCGGTTCTTTGGTCATGGGTTCCTCTTGGACTTTATATATACTAACTGGGTAAGATGGATTCTTACCGGTGGATTATGGGAGGTTTCCTTTCTTGGTATTATTGATTCTATATACATATCATGGATACTATGGTAACACCTCTGGTGGTTTTGTGTGACTCGGATCGGATCTCGGATGACTATGATGGCAGATGATAGATGGTGACCAGGCACGGTTACACGACGCAAGGTGGGAAAGGAAAAAAAAACGGGTGGGATTGTTTTTTGGTTGTTGAATTCATAATTGACACTTGTTGAGGGCATACTGTCAGATCACCTGTCCTGGCGTAAGGCTCGTCATGCTGAGAAACGTCTCTTCACATGCCTGTTATGAAAACTTATACCCCCTACATCTTGGATACTAGGTAGTGCCAGTCTATCCTTTTATGACAAACCAGACACCTATATTCAACCATCGCCGCCGGGCTCAAAAGTATGGCCTGTTACACCATCACGCGACGAACGCTACGCTGGGGAACGATTTGATGTACAACGACAACTCCTCGTACAAGCGTGTCACACTTCCAGTGCCGGATAAGGTAGTAGGAGATCACGGGCACGGCGCTTCCCATGCACCGGATCAGGTGCGTGGGTTCGGGGCTACCTAAGTCAAAGCACCCCCCTTTCCCCTTAATGATACCCGAGAAAGTAAAAATTGGGCGAAACAGTGATTCAGAACGGTTCGCGACGGCATGAGCCCCTTTCCACTCCAAGGAAACCTCCCCCATGGAGTTGGAGTTGGGATGGCTCCCTGCTGTTGTTGCATGATCAAGGCCGGTTTGGCAGAGCGACAGATTGGTCGCTCCCCTCGTTTGGCCACGTCACGGGTTAAGTATGTATGTGTGGATCGATGGGATCCGGTCGTCAAATCACACATACGGTTGTGATGTACTGTACTTCAAGCTCAGCACAGACAAGAGCGACGGTCAGGCCGCCGATTTCCAGGTACAGTACCTCGTACATGCCACTTTTGTTCGGCTCTTGCTGCTGGTTCATCCTCCCAAGCCAAGCCACCAAGCCACAGGCCAGATTGCCCTGTCAATCCGCCTCGAACACATCACCAAGTTACTATTTCGCGGAGCGAGTAAGCAGCCCCTCCCACTCGCCCTGTCCCTTTGGGCCGATAGAGTAGAGACAGCAGCGCTCCCATAGGCCGGCCAGTGCTCACGTGACCGAAACCGTATGCGGGCTGATCGATGATCCCACCTAGCAGGGCGACGGTAACTAAGGCAGAAACTTAGTCATGGACCAGTGACAAGTGCGGCTTTCGCGCACCAGAACGGTCCTTGCTTGGACAAAAGAAGCGAAAAGAATGGTGTCGTATCCCAGGCCAGATGCGGTGCTTCCCACGCTTGAGAAAGGGAAATTTCGACGGCGGTATGTCCAAGGTGACTGAAAGGGCTGGACCACGCCTCAGATTGGGCTGCTCTCAGGAAGACTTTGATTGATTCAATGATCACCAAAGGAGAGAGAGTGAGAGAGAGAGTGTGTGTGCGAGAGAGGAGTATGGGTAAGCGGTTGGTGCTGGTGAGTTGCGGTCCCCTTGCCTCGCAGCGTCTAGTTTCATCGGGACCGCTTTGTACCATGGAACCATGGTACATACTGGGAGGTCTGGGATCTCTCTGGAAGGGCGAGCGCCCAGACAACACGAACAAACTCGACGGTTGACCGCAGTGGAGCTAAGGAGGACGAAACGGACCACAAAAAGAAAAAAGAAGCTGAGACCTCTGGAGAATTCGGAGACCAGCGACCGGGCGGAAGGGGCTGGAGAGCACCACGCAGCTGACTGGAGGTGTGGGTTCTGGCGGCAACGGAAAGACGCGGACGGCAATGCACCGCGCCGATTGGGATCGTGAAAAACGTGGCAAGAGACGCTAAGAGAGAAGGAAAAAAGGAGGAGGGGCGGGGCACCGACCGCAGACTAACTAGACTAATCATCACTGCAGTAAGTACTAGGTACTGTACTGTACTACTCATAGTCTTACCGTCATGTGTATTACAATACACTCCCCAAGTTTCTGACCGCTGTTTCGGTTCGGTCCCTTACCGTACCGCCCTAAAGCACCCAGCCAAAACAGGAACTGGAACTCTTCCTTTTCACAACAATACAACGAATAATCCTTTAGTTCCGAAAGAAGCCTTATTCTCAGCTCCATCATGGCTAGAGAAGAAAACTCCGAGGAAAAAGCAAGGCTGGTCCCTCCCCCCTCTCTCTGTTTGATGGTCAAGCGCACGAAACAGAGGGTGTGAAAGATGCAAGCTTGCCTGCAGTTCCTAGACGCCCCGTTTGATGAACACTGCCCGGGCCTACCAACCTGACGTTGCTCTGGCAATCGCGCAACCTACAGTACATTCGCGTACGTAGGTTGCATTGGAGTTTTTCATCAATCTAAAGGAGGTACTTATCGGGGAAATCATCGGACATCCACCAGCAGTGGAATATGACAGTTTCACTCAACGAGCAGAGCTTATGAGAGATTGGAGCCGACAGCTTACGCAGAGAACCCAACGGTGCTTACTTGGAGACAAATTCGTTGAACATCACTCGGAAACTGCCACGGCTGCCGGTGCTACTTGCAACTTCCTCATCCGACTCCAACACAAATTAAATGATGGAGCAAACGAAACCAATATTCCTTTCCTCTCCCTCCCTGCTTGATTGCTACCCAGCAGTCTGAAGTATCGCCGGAGGACGAGGTATACACGTCGTGCATAAGATCGGCGGGAGTCGGGGCGGGCCGTCGTGGACATGACCAGGAGATGACTAGCAGAATTATAGGATCATGATAGGATGAGTCGTTGCCCAACGCCCTGACACAAGCACGTCTGCATCCCGTTCACAGCACCAATCCTAGTCCTTGTTTGCGACCGTGCAATTCCGACGGGATAGTACTGCTGATGCTCCCTCTTCGGTCAGCGGTGAAGATACAGTCAGTATCAATTTATCTACGCACTATCTATCCTTCTTTGATTGCTTATTAGTTGCTTACCTGTCCGTGGGCCTGCATGCTCGCATGCTTGCCTGCTTTACGCTCTAGTGTCGAAGGTGCAAGCGCACACGCGCAGCCCGGACTTGTCTCGTATTAGTTAGTTATCGGGGATGATTCTGGTGTGACATAAGAGTCGCACTGACCGGGAGATCACTATCAGCTTACGACTGATATTGCAGTCATACAAGGCAGTGGCTATCTTCTAATCGAACGCGACCTACCAAAGAAGATTTTCATTCTGTTTCCCGTCCGAGAGGGAGAAACTTCGGCCAACCCGAGTCACACGATCCAGTTACTGATGTCATGCTGCTTTCTCGACCAAAGTCGATGACATGTTGACCAATCTGGATTACCAGCGACAGATGGAAGAGAGAACCTGCCGTGGAGGGTCGGAACAAAAAGGGGCTCGTACACCTGTTGGGGATGTGATTCGGGTGCAGATGCTCGAGGTAATAGTCTCCCATCAGCAGGCATCCTTAGTTAGCGATCAGGGCACAGACCGAGAGGGGGTGACTAAGGCAGCTTTCTTGCAGCAAATCACATCCAGCAGCGGACTTCCCACTTCAAGGATCAACCGAATCACGGCTTCCTACGCACTTCAGTATTGATTTCCATCCCATTTCCCACGAGCGCGAAAACCACGGCGAGTTCTTGGCCTCCTATCGTCGTTGGCATCGACCTCCGCCTCCTGGGGGCATACCGGATCTACCTAGATAGGGACCGTAGTCCGTAAACGGCAACGTTGCCCAGACCTCCCCGCAGATAATCCCAGGACCGGGGAGGATCACCTTTGGTTTCCGCCCACAAATTGAGTTCCCCGGATACTACAGACCTACCTACCTTGTATTTCCGACTGGACTTAAATTATTGCGACATTACTCGTGCAAACACAGGCTACTTACAGTCCATGATGTCTTCGTGTCTTAGGTAGGAAACAGATACTTGAACAAGGCAAAGCAGGGGCCGAGGAAAGAAAATTCTTGCCCGAGAGGCGCTAATGCACGTTATTAGTTCCTAAAAGGCCACCTACCGTTCGGGCCATGATACCAACGACCTTCTGGTGCGGTCCCAGGGCTGTAGCACCGGGAAAGTTAGGGTTCCCCCCACCCGCACCTAAACCCCCTCACGGGAAGACCCCCTCATTCTCTTTCCACAACCCTTGCTTAGGGCGCTAGGTCAGTGCGAAAATCCTAGATGAGTCTGTATCACCACCGTCAAAATCTGGTGTGCCCAAAAAAGAAAAAGAGAAAACAAAAGAACTATTGTGCACAATTTTTACAGAAAATTCAAGAATATCTTGAGAAACCAGGTTTCAAACTTGCAGTGCCATGCTGATGGTGTCAGACGAGCCTCCCAATGACCGCACGGTAATCCTTCCAGTTGGGGCCGGCCAGGCACATTCGATCCGAGCCGCTTCAGGTGCTACGGAAGCCTCTACTCAGGACCAAGACGGTGAGGTCGAGCCAAGCTCTTACCTCATCCATCACGACTTGTTCGACACCGCCACAAAACCCCGCCCCTAGATGCCTCCGAGAGCGGCAGGTGGGAGGGCCTCAGGTCCGTCATTGGCCTGCACCGTGTCTGTTTTCAGCGGCACACGTTGTTGATCTGAGTGCTCCGTACCCACGGGCCCCCAAACCGGAATCCCATCATCATGGATTGAACAACCTGTATGTAATTTGTCGGAGCCGCATCGATTCAATACGTACCATCTTACGAAGTACCAAGACCAAGTGACAACTAAGTGTTTTAATGCTTTTTTTTGCTTGAGCACTCAGCGCTAGCTTATTCGGAGCGGGTAGCTAATTTCACCGCCTATTCTGCTTCCTCGCCCCGGCCGTGTGGGCTCCACCTCTTGCATGGGTTGTCTTCTTCCATGAAGCCCGGGTCTCATTTTCGGTATGTACTGACTCACTGAGTACAATACCTTCCTCTATTGCCACTCTAATCACCATCTGTGGCAGGGATGGAGCCTTCCATGCCTTCCTTCCAGTTTCTAAGCGGACTTGGATCCATGGAACACAAAAGAGGGTCAGCCCCGCTCATCCCAATTTATCTGCTGGCAGGTTTCTGGTGTACCAAAGTCTGGGTGCGACTGCAGTGGGCTGTAAGAGGATTGCCGGAACCGAGCATCGTCCGAGCTGATTGGTGGCGCGTGCCAATGACCAGTTGACTTGCACCCCGTGGACTGGTAACAGACGGGAACCAGCTTAACAAACTTCATCGGGCTGGTGAATGATGTTACCAATGACCTGGCATGCGACTACGGTTCGGAGCGCGCCTTTCCCTGCTGGGCCCAACCAGAATCGAGGGGTCGGCTCTCAAGGGTTTCCTCTCTTGTCTTCGCCAATCATCTTCTGACGCGCCTATCGCTTAACCGGGCTCCTGGACTGACTTGCATTGTTCGTATCCACCCGCCCAAAATGAAGTTTTTATCTGCGGGGACACTGGTTGTTTCTTCTCATGCGCTTCTTCACTATCGTGCGCATCTTTTTTTCGGCCCCAAAGATGGTCGGTCTTTCGTCTTTGGCTAGTTTCTCCGCCGAGTGTACTGTATGCATGGCTGGTGGAAGGTGGCCAGCTTCCTAGGCCATCTTGCATGCACGCACCGCATCGATGGCCGCTCACCCCCTTCCTCCCTTTCGTCTTGCCTGTTTCTCTCATTCCAAGGATCCTGCAGAACCTGGTCCACACAAAACAATGGAACAGGCACAACAAGCACTGCCCCGGAAGGTTCCCCCCAGCGAATCTATTCATGGTCCAACCTATCTCTTCCATGTTCATGATGCATTTTCTGCATCACGAGGTCTGCGGTTTGCCCCCGATATCTCGCCGTTGCATGGAAATGGTATCTGCGAATTATCCTCGATTTTTTTTGCAAAAGTACCGCCCGCTTGACGGTCCGATCATTACTATATCACCACTATGTACCAACCCGTCCCAACCAATAGACTAATGAGCCGCAGAATGTAATCACACTACTGGTAGCATTTGACTGCAACCCTGATGGCCGGAGCACATTCCTGGAGTCGGAAACTTGGAAAGAACGAAGGTAGGATGAACAGTCCGTACATCTGCGTGCGGAAAAGGTACATTTGTATCTTGTCCCCTGATCAGAATTACCCCGGGATGACGCGGTTGTTGTAACCTCAGGCATCAATGTAAGACCCAACCTTTCCGGGGCCTACCGCGCGACCATCTCCGTGCAACCCTGACGGACGAACAGGATAGCTTGATAATTCGAACAGGTCTGATAGCGATGTCAGACTTAGTACAGTACCAGTACATACCTTCTGCACCTGAGAAACCTCCCCCATCCCCGAACACCCCCTACTTACTGAGATGCAGCGCGCAAGATTAAATTGGGGGAAAGTCGAATTGCCTTAACAGGTAATAGGTCGTCGAAAACTGGAACCTTCTTTTCCAGGCGCGCATTATATTGATCGCCCTTGCTGGCGGGTTGGGCCGGTTCGCCGTAAGTACTAAGATCTCTCCCGGTCTTCCGAAAGAACGAAAAAAAGCAAGGGGCAACATAAATGCGACCATTCCAGCATTAGGGGGGAATTACCCCAATGTACCTGATCAGAATGTGTTCGGTGGCTCTCTCTCTCGAATCTTCCCTTGAAACATTCAAGACTAATTGGATGTCCGGAGTTACTGAGTAAGACTCAGGGCAGCTACAGCTAGTGTGCTGCCCATTGCAGATGTCGCCTCAAGAGTTTGATCAATCAACCGTACTTTGTACCATTGCAGCGGCTAGGCTGCTCCTTTTGGGCAAAGGTATTTTGTTCTTCAGGAGCTTTGCAGAGTATGCAGCTAGGATTCATCTTAGCTTGGATCTAGAGAGGCGCTTCATCCTCCCGCTTCTTTTGCCCTTCTGATCACCGGTAATATCAAAGTGGCGCAGGCGTTTGCTTTCTCGTTGGATAACCCCTCGTCTCGCCGGGGTCTTCAGC